ACGCTGAGGACCACGGAAGAATGGGTTTCTTAGTCCTCAGATTATACAAGCGACACTCATGTGCATGACCAAAGTGAAGGCTCGAAGGTTCAAAACTTTCGGCAGAGACACTTAAGACCGCTTACGTGTAGGAACGCAGAAGCATTCCTGCACGCAGCGCATTTCTACAAGCAGCGTGCCACGTGTTTCTTTTTCACATGTTGCTCCGGTAGTCACATCACGCTCCACCACTGCGCAGGCTCAGAAACCTCACCGGCTTCACGACGGCTTCCGTGTCCAAACCTCTGCGTTGCTGTGTCTTCCTTCGTGTTTTTTTTTTTTTTTCTGAAGCGCGTTTGCCTTAATTATTGGGGATTTATGTGCCGTTTCGCTCAGCCAGTGGGAATTTAGGTGCCGTTTTTCGCCGGCTTCGCTCCGCCAATGGGAATTTAGGTGCCGCTTTTTTGCCGGCTTCGCTCCGCCAATGGGAATTTAGGTGCCGTTTTTCGCCGGCTTCGCTCCGCCAATGGGAATTTAGGTGCCGATTTTCGCCGGCTTCGCTCCGCCAATGGGAATTTAGGTGCCGTTTTTTTGCCGGCTTCGCTCCGCCAATGGGAATTTAGGTGCCGTTTTTTTGCCAACTTCGCTCCGCCAATGGGAATTTAGGTGCCATTTTTCGCCAGCTTCTCTCCGTGGGACATTTAAATGCGTTCGCATTAAAAACTTAATGGCCCCATTCACGGATCTACACCAGCGGTTCCAGACACTCTAGAAACGCAGAAAGTGCACAAGACACCTTGGTCTTAAAACATTCTTTGTTAATATCTAGGAGCACTAAAAATCATCTACGAATCTACAAATGTTTGCACCCCAGGACCCTTCTAACTTGTTCGAAAGGACTCTATTGTAAAAGGCAAGATAGATGTCACTAAGTGCAGGAGAAATGCATGACCACATCCAGATGCCATTTCTTTGAATAAAAATGCCGTTATCCCAAGTTGCGAACTTCGCCTTTAGATAATTGAATTGACGTTCAAAAGTGTGCATCCGCCGGAGAGTTATGCCTCCTGACGACCAGGCCTTGTTGGGAGGCTGGGACCATTATCAAGCCATGGAACTTGGGTTTGCAGGATCCTACGTATGGCAGACTGTATCTTCGCCGTCATGCTGGAGCTGATCCGTCTGACATTAGGGGCAGGTGGCGGAATTTTGTCTGTATTATCAACAGATTTGTTTAATTTCAGTGACCTAAAACTTTGATGTATCTTCGAGCCAGCATACCCAAGACTGCGCCAGCTATGGGAAACCTGGTTCGCAAGTTGGGGGCGATGAACTTCCAGTGTAGGCGGAACGAATCCAGAGCAACGGCCCAAAGTTTGCCGTCAAACCAAGTAAATCGCCTCGCAAGCTGCTAACGTTGGTAGGACAAGTTTCTGGACGGACCCAGGAATCTGAAATATGCATATATATTTCTGAAGGTGCGCACGTTTTGCTACACTGCAAGATTTCTTAATCTAAAGGGCGATTCACACATTTGCGTTGAGAGTCCGACCTAGTGCGAGGTTTGCTATAGCAGCACCTGCGTCGCCTCCAGTAAAGCGGGGTAAAACTGGTTTTGTTGAAGCTGACACAGCTGTTGCCATAGCAACCCTCGCACTCAATCGGACTCAAGGCAATTGTATGATTCGCCCTTAAAGGGATATTGAACCGAAATTTGGATTTCGTAAAATAAGGCAGCAGAAGCGTTAAACGGGACGCTACAAACTCCCAGACATCACTCCTACGTCGATATCTCAAACGGATGGCCGTATTTCTGGAAAAGAAGGGCGCGATCCAGCATGAACTCTTACGTCACGATCCTCCTGGAGCAGTTGAGAATGAGGAGAAGTAGCCTCTCTTCTCTCTTCCTCGCTTCGGTTCACCAGCTCAACGGGACGAAGCGAGGAGGAAAGGGAATGGGAATCGTGACGTCAAATATGTCGTCGGCCCTGTCGGCCGTGTTCAATCGCGCATTTCTTTTCCAAACGTACGGCCATCCGTTAGAGATATCGCTGTATGAGTGGTGTTTGGTGGTTCTGCAGCGTCCCGTCTATCGATGCAGCCTTATTTTTGAGCTCGAAATTTCGGCTTAGCATCATTTTAGGGTTCCGCTGAGAACCACAGTCACCTACTCAAAAGTAAATTCCGTATTGCTTTTACCAGCGGAATAAGAGAGAGGTTTTGTGATGGGGGCTCCTAGGGGAATGTTCATGTCAAATATGTCAGACGCCAAAACGGCCACTTTTATACACCAGGATGACGTGACATTATCAAAGCTAAATGCTGACGTACGTAAACTTTGCAAACGGTTAAACCCAGTTAAACTGGGCCGAACGTTCGATAAGGGCCAAATCTTAAGTCTAGATTTATGGTTAAGACGCATAAGATTGACTGTCTGCTGCGCTCTATCTGTCACAAAACGGGGCATGGTGAAACTTTGTAGCTACCTTTGTGAAAATAAAATTTAACATGTAAGGGATAGATAATCCCTTTCAGGTGAAAAACATTGATCAAATATAAAATTTTTGAATGTTCAAACAGATCAAAACCTGTTAGCTTGCTCGATAGATACAAGGCCTAGTACGTTTTGATACCCCATAACGAGCTGCTGACGTATGTTTAAGGCCGTATTGACAGTCATGGTTTTGTGTCTCTTTTAGAATGAGCCTCGACTCAACTGTGACTCACTTTCTGGAACTTTCATAATTATATCTGAGGCGATATTCGCCACCTGGGATGACGGTGTCTTTATAAAATAAATGGTATCTGTAGAAGATCATGCATTGCTCCTACTCTTAGCGAAATCTATCTTGCGTTTTAGAATAGAGTCTTGTCAAGAAAGATGGGTCCAGGGGTTACCAGATGTTTTAGGCTCGTAGGTGATTTGTTTAGTCCTCCTAAATATTTACAAAGAAGATTTTCTGATGGAGGTAGCTTGTGTACTTTCTGCTTTTTAGTGTCTGGAACCGCTGGCACTGACGCGTTAAGTACCATTGTGATGTTGAATCTCGGCCTTCACTTTGGTTTTGCGCATGTGCGTTGGTTCTATGATCCGGGGTCTAAGGAATTCATCCCGCCATTTTCCTCAGCACATTCAAAGCTCGAGAAGTAGAGTACTTTTAACCTCTGTTTTAGGAATGCCCTGTACAAGTCCTGCCCTCAAAGAGTTTAAAAAAAACATTGGACGGACAAGCTTCAAGGCTGGGCCAGCGGAGTATACTTCTCTCTTGTTGACCATAGTTGCTATGAGCTTGCTTAAGAAAGGACGTCAGAAAATTACTCTGCAAGCTAATACGGTTAACAAAAAAGTCAGAGTTTTATCTTACCTTTATAAGATTTTACATAATCTAAAGAAAGTTGGCCGCAGGCCTGGTGTTGATCTGGGATTTTCAGCTCTGGAAGAGCTGTCTGGGTTGTGTAGAATAATCCAGTCCACTGTCAAATAAAAAAAGAAAAAAAAAAGAAACAGGAATACACCAAGAAACCCCATGACCGATTTGTGACTTTTGTACAGGAGGTTGTGTACTCCGTTCCGCTGTCGTGCGGTCGGAGGTGAGTCGGGAAAACGGGGCGATGCTTGAATTATTGCTTAATAGAACATGAATACACCGTATGAATACTTGAAAGAATGAAACATGGTGGACGACGACGGCCTGTCAGTGCACTCCCAACTTTGACAAGTGTGAAGCGATGAGAAAGAACAGTAATAAACTCACTCAAGAAATTATAGAAGTATGCGATATCATGAGATTAGGGCCAAATTGTGTCAGCACACCATCATTATTTATGTCGGATAAAGTATGTTAATTTTCAGGTGCACTGGGAGCAATGCGTGACTATTGCTTAAGTAAGGAACAAGTGGAGTGTTTTTATGATTGGTTTTGGTTTGTTTGTTTGGCGTTGCAGTATTTATACTCAGTGTTAGCACATATAAACTTCAGTTGGAAGTCAGCGCTGTTGTTCGTCTACCTTGTCGTTCTTTTACGTGTCTTTACTCTGACTTTTTTTTTTTAATTTTTAGCCATGAAAATACAACACGCAAATGACATACGTTGTGAGGTGTTGTAATATATTTCTCGGCTGATGATGATGAGAGTATTGAAAAGAAGGAAACAAAGGAGGTGTTTCAGAGGATTGCCTTACATCGACCTAATTCTGATAAACAATGCTGTAATCATGTGAAAATATGAACACTGCGGATGTGCAGCGAGCTAAAGAACAAGACAGTGCGTCTCGAGTGCCCACAATTTCAACATGAAACGTCCGAACAGCCCGTCTTCGCGAAGTAACAATAATAATAAAAAAGTTTGCTTAAAAATGTTTTTAAGCAATTTGTTTTTATTACAACTCTTAGTTTTTAATTTTAATTTCAATTTTTTTTATTACAGTTTTACTTTTTTTTATTACAGCTCTGAACAAACCTGTCTACTCAGGAACCTAGTCCAAAGCAACGTAAACATATACAAATTGCGAAAAAAGCTACACAAAATACTCTTTCACTTCTTTGACATCAGATTTTGCATTTCGCACTGCCAAGAGCGACTTGGATATGAAACTCAATGCTAACAGTAAAACATTTCATGGGACACAACGTATCGAATTTCAGCAGCCAAATAGCAGGTAGTATATTGTGTTATGTAGAATTTCGTTTATTTAGGTGTGTCGAAGTGTGCCTCAAAGAACGTGGGCAGCACAGCAAATTATACAAACATGGTCAATTGCTTCCGGCACCTTACAGAGAAAACAATTCACAGGCCCGGGCGCGGATTGGTTAATTCATCACATTAAGACGTAGTTTAAAGCAAGAGATTAACTGTGGAAGGCCCGCAGCTTTTGGTCATTCGCAAAAAAATGAATATATATACTGGCCATGCAAATTTTGCAAAGATACAAGGCATTGGAGAGCAAACTTTTGGCTGGGTCACCTGTCAGCGTATTTTTTGACGCTAGACATGTAGCCTAGTGACAAAGTCATTAAACAATTCAACTGTTATCTTTTTTATTGAAAACGGGCGGTCCATTTACGATTGCCGGCTAAATACACAGTGAACCAATCCGATGTATTTGAATTGTGCGAACATGAGTGGGCGGGTATGTAATGAGTAGCGTTCGCATTTTGTGCATCCACATGACAGCACGCACTACTGAGGTGAAGTGCAGTCGCTGGAATGAACCACGTAACTTGCGGCAAATTGTAAGCTATCGTTGTACAGGTGAAGATTAGGTCCCACAAGCTCGTGGTGTCGGTCGTAGTTGTAGTCTCCGCAAATCCCACAAAGCTTGCCTCTGTAGAAATGAGCAACCTGCACAATAAAACATGAAGTAATTTTGCTTTAATAAAAGTAAACTTCATGTCTAAAATATATATTTTGTCATCTATAAATATACGAAGCTTTTCGCTACAGTGTGCCAAGAAGTGAATGCAATAGCTATTATTGTGCGTAGTAGCACACCCTTTATGCACATCCACACTTTATTTACTTGATCAAACACAACGCAACCTTGTGGGCAATGAAGTATCTGAAGAAAAAAACAAAAAAACTGCTACGTGAGTCAGGTTCTTGCCTAAAAGGAAACCGAGACAGGCACCACCACTCAGGTAACTATCACTGTAAGAGCTGGATGTTTCGCTCCAACCCGAAGCGGGCACCACGGCCCCGCAGTACCACCGGGCGCGCAAAGACTGCGGGCGCGTGGGCATACCCGCCATCTCTCGACCAAGAGGAGAAAGTACTCTGGTTGGACGTTGTCACGTGATTTCATGACGCCACTGAGTTTTCTGCCGAGCACGAAGCCTCCGCGAGCCGAACTGGAAAGTCCCATTAACTGTTATCGCTGTAAATCCCAGGCAGTAGGTGTAAGGAAAAAAAATGAATGTTCATGTTTTTGTTAATTCACATCGAAACGCGATCTTCTTACCCATCATCATTACGTTTTAGTCTCAAAGACCATTCAAATCCATGGAGTTGAGGCGCGCTTCCTGGTTACGAAGCGCAAGTTGAAGGGTTCAAACCTTGAGTAGATTCCTTTCATAAAGATTTGTTGGTGTTCCGTCTGCGAACTTAGTTGGTTTGCCACATAAAGCTTTAATGTTAATTTTTTTTACCTCGCACATCACTTTGTGACATTCAAATCTAATATTATTTCTATTTCTTTCAAATAGGCTCGGAAGTCCAAAATTTGACCACGAACTCTAAGGCAAATTTTGCAACGCACAACCACGCTGGCAGACGTTTCATGGCCAGACCAACATTGACTGGATTGGGAAAATATGTTTGCGGCACTTTAGGATTAACAAATAGGGACTTTGCGCAATGCATCAATCTGCCACGAGCGGCCCGTCAAACTTTTCTGGAGCCCTGTTCTCTAGTAAATACACCTGGAGCGCGCGAAGTGTGTTAACATTTTTTGGTTGGTGAAAATTAATGAGGAAATGTTGGGTTATTCAGGCTGCGTTCTTAAAACGTGTGTCACTACCGCCTGGTGTTTTATTAAATCTTAAACTAGAATCTACAGCTGAAAATGACATACTCGTGACTAAGTCAAGATCCGCGATGAGGCGCTTGCCACGCGACGCGCCGGCAGGTAAATTGTAACTTGCTGAAACACGGAGAGAAAATCACGTAAAATAATCTTTTGGTTTTCTTTTGGGCAAAGTAATGTAGGCCCAATCCTAAATATTTCTATAGTTCCCGTCGACTCTTAATTTGCTGATATTTTCGCTCATAATCCTAGGAATTAGATTTTCTGGTAAATTTAGTCGGCACCCGCAATCTCTTAATTAACTTCTTTTTTTTTTTTTTTACTTTTTTAGAGGGTAGCAATCAAAGCATAAAAAGTCCATGGACGCTTCCAACGATGGCCCTTGGGCGCCGCCATCTTGCTCCTGGTCGGGGGAGATTGTCTGATAGTCGAGCATTGCCGAGACGTACCCACGTACCCACGCCCTAAGCAATGCTTGACTATCAGACGATCCACCTACACCAGCAAGATGGCTGCGCCCATAGGCCGCACTTGTAAACATCTATACGCTACATTCACAGGTATACATAATCACTATACTTTCGCGTATAGTAACTAACAGCTTAAGAAATGTCGGGCGTGGCACATCATAGTTCAACCTTCTTGCCTCGTGATTGGTCCTTCGGTGCTCTTATGCACTAATGCCGCTAGTTCATTGGCTGATGAGCGATAGAAAGACGCTCAGGATTCCCCACGCTCTGCTTTTCTTAACGTGTCAGCGACTACGCCTTTCAGATTAAAGGGGTCATTATTGGCTTAGGGAGTTTAACAATAAGTCTCACCTGGACGTAAAGAATCCTGCCGTCGAAGAGGACATAGATGCCGTAGGGTTTGGACACGATTTCAAAGTTTTTGTTGCTCATCAGTGAGATTGTAAACAACTCCGCATCGGCGACGGAGTGACTGTAGGGTGAGTCGAGAGATGGCGCCACTTGTGATCCATCAACTCGTACTATGGGCAATGTGTCTTCCTCCAAGGACAAAACCTCTATTTTAGTCTGGTCGACGAACATCTTCAACGCCTGTGACAGAAAGCGATCATAAAGGTGTATAGAATCGACAAAATGGACTTGGTTATTTGCTTGTGTTAATACTAATCTAGAGAAATTATTTCTTTATATCTCAAAACCGGTGCTTCGCACTAAATAAAAGCAACTGTTTAAAATATTGGAAAGCTTGTAACTGAGCATATATCCGCAGCGAATAATTATAACGAAAGTTACATCTATTAAAAAAATTAAAGCCATAGTGTAGGCGTCAATACATCTGTTTTTAGATGTTGCAACAACTAGGTCATTAACCTATATTATCATAGTAGAGGTGAGCTGGTATTAGTTCCTCAAATTGTGATAGGAACCTGCAAAACAGCTATCAACTGAGGAGACAAAAAATATAATTTGAAATTTTTTAGAATGTTATATTTATGAATGTCATCTCGTCGGTGTGCTTAAAAAACAGGAAAATAGTTATCTATGGGAAATAAACAATTTTGATAAAGCTAAATGCTTATGAACAAATGGAGACACAGCAGGAAACATAACTTTTCAATAGAAAAGCAGTCTCAGTGCGGCAACTGTTTTATTTCAGCGCAAATAATAAACGCACAGGCGAAAAGATAGAGCAAGCACAAAAATGTATCGCGTAAACTTTCTAAAACAAAGCTTTATGAAAGGTATTTCAAATTCAAATGAATGGGGTGAGATGACATGCAAAGACAAAAAAAAAAAGAGGTTAGCTTTTCATAGTGCATTTGATAACAGTCTCCAAACAGACATTTAGATTGCTATTGAATATGCTTACCTTTGGATAAGCTGCGTTCTGATGTGTTCGTGCGAGAATAAGAAACCTCTTGCTTGGCGAGCAATCTCTGGCAATAACCTTGAAACAGTTCGTGTTTGGAAGATTCACAACCACGCCGTCGAATGTCTTGGCGCTGTTGCCCTGGAGATCGCAGAACTCTGAAACACAGGTTGACACCATTTGGACTCAAGTGCTTCTGAACCACACAACTGATACATTACGTCGTCATTAGATAGCGGCGATTGGTATGTAATCCTGAAAAAGTGATGACGTATCTAGCACTTACCAGTCCCATACCCAAGTTCTGGATTCAGGCTGACTTTCTTTTGTGTTGCTTCCTATATTAACACAATTGGGGCACTCGTTTTTGAGTCTACTTATTCGCCACTTCACACTTTTAGACATTTTTTGTAACACACTGATTCGGTTACGATCACATGGGTTTATAGTTTTAGCAAATTTCATAGACCATTTATTTTCTAATTTCCCTTTTGATGATTACAATTGAGTGGGCAATTGAACATGGCGTATTCATTAACAAGGCTTAAGAGCTTTTGGACTTACCTTACAGGCTGCCTCTAGAAAAAACTCTTTGCTTATAATAACTAAAAAGGGAAGAAGAGTTTTATAGAGAGTTTTGGCTGCAAAACTCTTCACGAAGAGAGATTTGCATTCTTAAAAATGGCGCACAAAATGAAAAGGGAATTTCATTATATAGGAGGCGTTTCACAAAACAGAGTCAAGTCGCTTTCGCCATAAAATATTCATCGAACTGAATCAGTGCTAAGGGACCTATTCAGTGAGGTGCAGCCGTCAGAATCAATGAATGCTTAATAATTTTAATTAGCGCTTAAAACGATAAGAGTGTGAATACAATTGCACATAGTACCTTGCCAAGACATAATCGAAGAAAGCTACCTAATTAACTTGAGACCCGGTCCGTCCTGAGACCCGGTAAGTTTTACACGGTGTTCTTCCGAACAAATCTCAATTTGAACACGTCCTTGATGTCTTGTTTTCTTATTGGCTGCATCTTAGAGCCAGCAACCAATCAGCAACCGCACTCTCTGAAACACATTCTAATTGCAGCATATTTCTGCCTCAGCCAAAGGGAGAAAAATACCACAGCGGCGCGTCCCAAATTTGCTCTTTTTAAAAACTCATCCTAAAAACCGTAAGTCGTTTTAGAGCGCAGCTCTTAGGCGCCCGTTTCCGGCTTGAGCGGCGTCGCCGTCGGCGTCACCGTCGCCGTCGCTGTCGTCGTCGGCGCAACCGCGCGGTGCATTATGGGTAAATTCCCCCCTAAATCTAGCGTAAAAATTTCTCCATTAAATCTAGCAGGAAACTTTTCCCGCTAAATCTAGCGGAAAATTTTTCCCGCTAAATCTAGCGGAAAAATTTCTCCGCTAAATCTAGCGCAAAAATTTCCCTGCTAAGTCTAGCGCAAAAATTTCCCCGCTAAATCTTGCGGAACAATTTCCCCGCTAAATTTAGCGGAAAGATTTCCCCGCTAAATCTAGCGGGAACATTTTCTCGCTAAATCTAGCAGAAAAAGTTGCCCGCTAAATCTAGCGGAAAATTTCTCTGGGGAGTCATGTGACCTGGGGGTTACGTGACCCCCGCCGAGGTCACTTGACCCCCAGGTCACGTGACCCCCTCCTCAAGGTCACGCGACCTCGGGGGGGGGGGGGGGGGAGCATGAGGGTCACGTGCCCCCCCCCCCCCCCCCCCCCCGAGAACCCGTAACCCTCAGTACCCTTCCCTCCTCCTTCTCAAGAGCTTCGGCCTAATTCGGCGTTACAGGCAGTTGTAAACGGCTTTTATTCTTGAAGTGACTTTGTTCGCGACTTCATTTAATTAAAATCTTACTTTAATTAATATTATTCATAAGCTTACTCTTTAATAACAATACCCACTTATTCTTTCCGGAGTGCTGTTGCGCTTTTCTAATACGTGTTGGGAAAAGCGGCGCTCCTATAGTTTCCCACGAAGCACTTGGGAAAGCCAATCTCTGCAATCTACGCAGGGCAGGTGTCAAATGACGACGCGAAACAATGTTTAGTCACAACAGAACAGCCTTCGCTGCGACATTGGTTTTGATGTAGGCACGTGTCACAGCGCAGAGAGTGTCACAGCACATACCAGTGTCACAACGCAGACAGTTTTTCTTGGGTCCAGACATATTTTTGCCTTGTCACGCGTGAGCTTCCTACGTTGATTGCAACGACTGGCTATCTCCCAAGTGCTTTGTGGGAAAGACGACGCTCAAGATTTCTCATAGTTGTTGACCGGATAAGGATTCAGTCAATTCTCCGGCTCAGTGCGAGCTTTCCGCCTTTGATAACAATCAGTTTCACGCTAGGCCAAGACCTGGCGAAAGGCAGTGAGCGTGTGCTGAAGGCGGCGCCTCCTCTGCATTCCAGGTTAGACGCAACATGCACCTTGTTTTTGAACGATATGTAGTTATCGATTGGACACTTTTGGCAGATATTTCGTGAGACGCTTTCATATACTATGAGCGGAGTAGAAAGGGCAGGCAGCTCACTGTGCTTGTAGTACGGCACATAGTTGACCAGGTTGGAATAGCCGAATGCGTTGAAAATCTTGGGCTCCAGCAGGTGGCTGAACATGGGGACGTGGTCGTGATGAAACTCGTGTCCGTTAGGGGTCGTGACCACGACGTCGGCGTGCGGAAGCCCGTGGGAGCCGGGTACTTGCGAAACCACGTGCAGCTTTCCGGACACGCCGGTCATGTGCGACCCGACGATTCCCAGGAAGCCCATATGTCCCTTGTTGTGCTGGTGGTACTTGTGGTAGTAGCGCTTCAAGCTTAGTCCTGTGAGGGGCTGTTGAAAAGAGGGCAAGTCAGTCGATGCCATTGTATTCTATATATACGCCCGCTCAGGGCGCCGCCATGTTGCTACTGATGGGCATTGACAATCTAATGGTCGAGCCATGCTAAGACGTGCTTCATGTTGCCAGACTTGTACACCAACAAGCGCTGTCTACTTGCCTAGCTTTCAAAGCGTGGCTGCCTGCAAATCTGTATAATCGCACCCCTGACGGTACATCCTTGAAGAGAGCACGGAGCAAGCACCCTTCCCAGCCGTTAGTGAAAAGGCAATGCACTCTCGATGCTCCTTCGTGTTGCTGCCCCGTAATGCAGACGAATAATCAATCATTTTCTTTCTTTCAATCAGTTTAGCCAATGAGAATGGGAGCGGTATCAATCCTCAACTTAGTGTAAGTAGTAAAACAGTGACCACTCCTTCTGCCACTGAGACCGGATGGCCGTTGAAGCAGCATGATGCATACCTCCTTCTGATTTCTTGAACCGGTTAAAGGAAGACACATAATTGGTGCTCCAGGAGTGTTGCAGCGAAGTATCCATTTAGGCGCCTCTAATAGCACAGATGGTTATATAGGACATAATATATATGGACACCGAACGTAACGCGAACTGCTGCGCTGTTGCATTCAGCACAATGTTTCGAATGTTTTGGTCCTTAATGAAGACCGCGAGCTTGGGTTAAAACGTAGTGCATTCCTCGTAGATACCTTTTTTCGAGATTGCATGTTTGTTAAACATGTAAAAGGATCTATTTTGTTTTACATGGCAACTTAGGAATCGAAAGATGTCGAGAATATTGGGCACCTTCGCTCAAACCGCTCACCGAATTTCCGTAGTTGTAATCCACGTCCAGAGTCAGTTTCCCCAGCCGACTGCTGTAGAAGAGGTACTTGATACAGAAGTAGCCGAAGGCCACACCATGCTCCTTGTCACGTGCGCACTTGTAGTAGAGCTGACGAAGTGTCTGCGATTGCAGCCGCTTAACGTCGCTCGTCACGCCGATGGCATTGGCCGCTATCTGCTCCGCGTCTTCGTCCGTGTGGGTGAACTTGCCGGTGGCTACCACCTGGGCGAACAAAAACGGCACACAGTCGTAACAAGGTGCAAGGTGTGACGCGTTAGAAGAAGCGCGTTACTTATATCTAGCTACGGTTTTTATTTTAATGTGTTAGCATTTATTGCCTTGGAGCATGCAGCCGTCTTTGGTGTGAATGGTTTAGATTGGACTGGACTGGTTTTGTGAGGCAGCGGTGTGGTTTCTGCCGTGCTCTTTCGGTCCGTTCCTTCGCTCGTTACGTAGACTTTTCCTCTTAAATGAGAGGAAAAAACCATTCTCGCACGCCTCCAACGACGCGCCGCTGTTGACGTGCACTCCCCTTGTGATGGCCCCGGGGCGTATGCACATGGTTTCGTTTCCGAATATGCCCAACGATTAACGTACTTTGTTACTTTTTAAGTGAGTCACGAGTAGAAGTATTTAGTTAATTTATTTCAATAACGTGTACCTGCTTGATTAGAGTTTCATAGGTTGTCGCATTTTTTTGCAGGAGCCACGTTTGTGGTGATACCACAACAACAGAAACGACAATATCATAATGTTAAGGAAGCTTGTAAGCCGCAATAGAAACGAATACAAGGAAGGGGACAAAGAAACCCGCTTGTCTGTATCGCTTTGTTGATGTTCGTGTTTGTTCGCGCGTACAAGTTTATTCAACTTCACGCGCCAACTACCCCAATAAGTCATTAAATATGATGATGACTGCCTTTTTTTTACAAAAGATATAACCCGCCAACGTTTAGCTATGAGCTCTTCTGAACATTGGCTTGAAAAAACGTTTGAAATTTCTTTCATCATATTTTAGAGAATTCCAAGCCATTTTGTGTAATCATGCCCCATGGAACACTGATGATTTTGACTACGTCAGTTGTGTAACGATTCCGCGATGTCACATAACCTCGTCGTTATAAAGCTAGATAGAATCATTGAAACACGTAAAGTCCTCTGAACGTGTGTGACAGTAGGAACAAGGGGCTGTTTAACCCCTTACGTAGGGTTTTAAGGAAATTATTCACATGACGGTAACTCTATGTATTGAAAGGACATTGAAATGTAGCAATATTTGCCCGGATTCTCAAAGCAACGACTCCCCAGGAATTTTGAGAAACCACACCGAGAGCCTTGTCCGAGCAAGCATAATCAAGATATCGATTGTATTAGCATTGTACAGGCATGGTGAACCCGAGAGATCGTGCGTTGTTTAAATCAAACGGATGTGTAAGGTAGTTAATCATTGGCAAGTACGAATGAATTATAAATAAAATGATATTCAAAGTCAACATGACCCTCACCTCTCCTTCTCTCTCTCTTTTTATTCTATACACTTCTTAAAAAGGACCCCGTTAGGTGAAGGCAATTTTGTTGCACCACGTGAAAGGAAGATCCATTTCAGTGCATAGAATTATAATAATAATAATAATAGCAATAATAAATATAATATTTATTTGCATACAATCATGTTATCCTGGGTGGCGTGCAAGGATGTGCAGAAAGGTTAGAAGCCGTACGCGAGTGCGCCTGCCAGCCCGCCACCCCACTTACGAGAGGAGAGCTTTGGCAATCGTGGCCATAGTAGATTGAAGCCGTCACGTTTATCTCCTTTCCTTGGTAGTAGGTGGCCGTTTCTGGTAGGCTGTTCCAGTCAGACTTAGGGAAGGCTGCTGTTGCGTCTGCGCAGACCTAAAAAATAAGAGCAGGCACGCTTTAATTATTATAAGGTAGTTCAGTTTAGAGAGAATGACTGTCAATTTAATTAACATCTTGGAAGATCCACTGCGCGCTGGAAGCTCTCACTTTTTTTAAAATAAATTGGCTGTCTCTGGGTTTTTTTCTCCCAAAGGCGTCCTAAATACATAGCTTTTACGAACACAGTAAGGAGGTTGTCGCAGTGCTATGTGACGTCACATGACGCTGTGACAACATCCTAACGCAAGGCAACACCAGGCGTGATATAATGAACTCGTATATCACGTGGCAGTGACACCAGGAGACACCATGATGTCACGTGGAACTGTGACGTCATGGTTTCGTGTGTATTCAATCAAATCAAAGAGACGACCGGCTACATCGCGAGTCACCATGACGTTACAGTGTGATGGGATATCGGAGTGTTACTTGACGTCATGTTATCACGCTACGTCATTGTCCCGTGTGACGTCAAGGAGGACCTAAAAATGCCACTCATTTATATTCAGTTTTACTTCAGCCGACGTTAGGATTCGATGGAGCCAGTCGTAGCATCGGCTACGATGACGTCAAACTGTCAGGCGATACTGCGATGTCATCGAGGCTAAGTCCGTGGGCGCGAAAACGCAAAGAGCTGGTACTATCAATGCTGCGCATTTAAAAGAGTAAAGAGAAAGAACTGCGACATGGTCTACAACATGGACGTCACATATATTTAACCGAGCATATACCTTGATTGGGGCTGTTTCCGTCTCCCCGAATGCCTCTCTTTCATACGCCAAAGACGCCTGGTGTTTCAGCAGGTCCCGGCTGAAGGAGTACCTCAACCCGGCGGTCACACCTCGAGTCCTGTTCTCGCCGCTGACGCTGATGCCCAGACTCAACTTGTGGCCGAAAGGCTTTTGCTTCGCGAGCGCATCATTGTCCGATGCGTTGAGGAACCTGTATTCTAACGCAAACTCCACCTGTATCAAAAGAACCGGAAACGGAGCTCGTTTACGCCCAGCCGTATAATTGGGGACTTTTAGCCAACCGTTACCGTGTTCCACGTAGCGAATTATTGGAGTCTTTAAAGCATGCTTTTAAGCGCGCGCCCTGCGGTAACGGTTTCACCCGAGCGCGCGCTTAAAAACATACGTCAAAAGCTCCGGTAGCGCGGTATGCGGAACACGGTAATGGTTCGCTAAAAGTCCCTATTCTTGTTTCTATCGGTAGTGCCCCACCGTGTGACCCTAAAGCGAGCAAACTGTGGTTTCTACGGCGATGCTTCAAAAGAGCAAAACTTGGGTTGTTTCTTAGACATGTGTGAACATTGATATATCATAAAAAGGTAATTCATTTTCTATTTTTTTTACAAATTCTATAGATGCATGCGCTTAGAAAATCGCGGTCTGTTTTTCACTCTGGTTTTGCTCTCATGTCGACGCCCTGTTTATTTTTAGGTTTGCTTTGTACAACATGATAGCACGCAGAGAAACAAACAAAACTATTTTCACCCTGAGACTGATAAGCATCAGTGCAACTTAAATATACAAAAACAAATTTGGAGAAAGTTATTTATCTGCTTACATCGGTAGTAGCTCCGGTGCCATCTTATTAACATCACGTTAACTGGAACCGAATAATTCATCCATTCTTTTTACCACGAAGTTATGCTTGGTATGGGGCAACCAAACTACACGCTACTATCCGATGAATCTACAATTTCGTAAATATCGTTTTTATGCCTGCCAGAGAAGTGACTTCGTCCCATACCGTATTTTCCGGACTTCAGTCCGCAGAGGCAAATCTGAGGCCAAAAATAAAAGTTTTTGCTAAGATAGTCCGCACCCTGTGCATAGTACTCACGCCGTGCATAGTCGGCACCTGGTGCTTAGTCGACATGAAAATCTTCTCCTACAAGGCACACCTTGACAAGTGTCTACCTTGTTAGCTTACAAAGAAGCTTGTATTATACGTAAATCATCATTACCACACTCTTTCATTCACAGAGCCCGTCTCGTCTCGTCATAATCAACGATCTTAAAAAACAAAAATCCTGTATAGTTCGCACAGCCTAAAATTTTAACTTGTAAACATGCATAGCCCGGAAAATACGGTATTTTGAGGACAGCAATAGTAGTAAAACATCGGGTTTGTTTGGACGCGTATTTCAATCATATTGCCCGCATCTAAAAAAAATCAGGCTCAAGGTGTGTCAATATAGGTGTTCATATAAATATTTTACAGCGGCACAGGGACATAGGGAATATACTTTCGTGCTTTCATTTTGGATAACGGAAATTTTTTATCGAGGTTTTTAAAACGACGTTGTGACACTCAAAAATAGGCCATGAACTTAATACATGTCCCTACATATTTCTCGACGTACTAAACAATTTTCCCTCGTTCCCACTTTTGGAATGACTATGTCAACAGAAAGTTTAGTTTGATTAGCGAGTAAATCTGGCTTATAGGGTGGGTAAGTGTTCTAATTGGGCGTCTTTCGCGCAGGAGGAGCATTCCAATCAGAGGCCGGCATAGAAAACACGTAGGAACAACCCAGTGACGAGGCATCCAAGTACTCACCGTCATTGTTTGAGGTCGTGGGAAAACAAAAGGACACGTCGCATTTGGTGGCAAACAAATGCGCGAGGTGTGCAAAAGATCAGACGAACTTGTATTGCGGAGCGCAAGTTTGTCTGCTTCTTTCGCAGGCGCTGAGGTGACGTCAGAACTCCGAGCTCTGATTGGCTCTGATTGAAGGACAGTGGGTAGACCTCAAAGCACCTTGCTTCGAGGTCTGCCCACTATCCTTCTAATCAGATCTATTCAGAGCTGGGCATCTTTCTGACGTCTGCGACGTCAGAAAGCAGACGAGCTGAAGCAGACGAATTTGCTGCAAGCTGAAGCAGACCACCTTGCGGTCCGCATAGCACGCTAAACACACCGGTCGGAGACGCGCTCCGTGGCACCGTAATTTGCGTCAGATCGTCCGTGTACTAACAAATATGGGATCTGGTAACGAGAGAAATATTCACCGATTTTGCGGCGTCCTGCTCCGCTGGCACGAGCCTAAGGCGCAGGCTTCTGGGACTCCACTTTGGATTGACGATGAGGTAATGTAACTTTTGCCTCCAGTCCATTTCGTGCCACAGCTCGTGCAGGTTTCGTTTGAGGTCCCTCTTGAGGAGTTGACCCCGAGCGTTGAACCCGTAACCCAGGAAGTCACTCACGTAGTTCCTGTCGAACTGAAACGCACACAAAACGTCAACATCTTTACCGATTATTGTAGTCTTTAATTCACCAACACATACGTATGCATCAAGGTTTAGAGGTCTAGTTTGCATTTCAATTGATTTACTGCTCAATTTAACGATCGAACGCGGGATTTACTAATATTAAGCGGAATTATTTGCACGTGGCGTCAATGCAAACACTGTTTGTCCATATTTCCACTTTGATTTCACGTTCTTCGCAATAACGCACCAAGTACTATATCACACTTTTCTATTCTAATTGATGGGTTAGTTTATTGTTATCTGAATGTGCGATTAATTACATCTAATTGAAATGTCCTTCACTACTCGCACACACAACCGACACTGCTCGTCAACATTTAAACATCGGTTTCACGCGCTCTCTGCAAAAGCATTTAATGTGCACGGTCACGCGGAAACACGAGCAGAAAATAACAATCCACGCACTTTAAATAGTCCAATCGAATAATTTATTACACGCTTTGAAATTCAGCCGTACACGTTGCTCCGATAGAAATAAAAAGTCTAGTACTTCCTAAGTTTATTTTTAAAGCAGATCTCTTTATCTGATTCCTGTAGGCCTTCAAGGGGGCGATGCCAAGTTGATGGTGCCAAGTGCAGGATAGCAAGAATCTCGACCATCCGACCCATGATACTCGGCGACCGAATTTAGAACCAACGGAAACTTATTTTCGCAAGCGATGAATGAAATAAGAACCGCCTCTAAATGGCGTTCCGTAGACACTCAGCCTGAAAAACTTTCAGCTTTTCCACTCTGGTGAAGAAGGAAGAGCAGCGGAGTTGTAGCTTTTGTTCTCGCGGTGGCTTTCCAGGCGAGCGATCTGCTCTTCTTTCGCAAAGGAATCTAAAGCGCTCGACGCAGTAGAACTTTAGGCGATAGCGGCCTCGCGGCGGTTGCGGAACCATCCGCGCTGCTGCGCACATCGCCGCTCGTTCCGTTCCCGCTCTTCTTCCTCCGAAGAAATGTTGCCGCCATCTATGAGCGACGGCAGCAACAAGTTGTCTGGTTGCCGAGGCTGGTAAGGTTGCTGCGATCTATGAGCGACGGCGGCAAGCAGACAACCGGCAAACACAACACTCTGGACAGCTACCGCCACCTATGAGCGACGGCGGCTACCAGAGTGTTGTGTCGACATTTGTTTGGTACCGGACGCGATCCTCGGAAAACTACCTCTTAACAGCTCCGGTGTAAAATGTTTGTAACCTATGTTCTACAGGTTGGTGGCAGTCCGCGTGACATCAATAAGGTCTTCAGACAGAGAAACTACACAAAACTGAACGGAAGTGTATAGTACAGATCATCTCAAGTCTCTGCTGTCACGCCGGTGAGGTGGCGCTGCTGTCGGCATTGCGTATGCGCACACGCTTCACTTGACGCGAAAAAGAGGGCCTTTGTGCTTGATTTTTTGTGACGTCACCTACCATAGGTCAGCCCGGGGCAGTGAATAGAAATGAGTGCATGCGTCAGTGTTCACCGTATGGAGCTGTGTCCTCACCGATTAAAGACGAGTAGCCGCCGAACGCTGACCAGCCATATCAAATATGATACCCCGCTCACACTTCAGGTAGGTTACGTAGAAAAACCCAGAACCAGAGTTGTTATTTATACCTCGCTTCACCTTGAGTCAGGGAGCAGCCAATGCTACGATTCAATGGCCACAATAGACCTTCTGCCGCATCAAAAAGAATGCAGGGAACGTGGGTACACGCGTTGCGCGTGCTGGCATCTTCAGCTCTCACTGTTCGAAAACAAAAATTTTAAGCAAATGGCACTTCGCACGCGCCTTCCACGAACGCTTTATTTCGGTCATTTACTTTGAATCTTTTTTTTTTTTTATAGCGAGCATGTGCCGCGCGTGTATCTAAGTTCTCAAAATATTCTTTGATGCTCGGGCAATTCAGCGAAAGATCTATTAAGCAGCGCCGAAAGTGCATGGTCACGGCTACCGTCGTATTTGTGCGTTTGATATCGCCGGATAAAGCAATAACGCGCAGTAAAAGCGCCGCGTTCCTGCGATTTTTTTTTTTCGCTATTCATTTAGCTAGTGATAGCAAGCGCACTAAGGCGACGATGGACTCGATGATGCACTTGGGAAGCTGCTTGATTGAGTCCGTTTGATTCTATCGTAGGCTGCGCTCGGGCCTAGTATGAAACAGAGTGCAGATTTTCTATCGTACCGAAGATTAGCGCGGGTCGGAGATAAGAAATGCTGCATTAGTGTTCAAATGGGCCTCGTGTTTGATTAGTGAGAAACACGAGCCCCAGCCCAACAGTGCCACAGCGTTCATGTCAAATCTGCATCTAAGGGTCATCTTGAGACTCACAGGAGCGAGCTCTTGTTCGCTGTACAGGGGTTCGCCAGGAAGGGTAGGCGCTGCAGCGTTGCCAGCCGCCACATCTTCCCGGTTGTAGGGCTTGACGAAGCTGTAGGGCAGGGAGTGGTAGTTGAGGACGTCCAGCGGTAGAGACAGCGGACGCTTCAGGCTCAGCCTGCTGTTGGCAGGGTCGAGGGTGACTTCCAGGTGCAGGGGCAGCGACACCGAGAGCCGAGAGTCGTAACCGGTGCCCACGGAGGTCTGGTTGAAGGTGAGGGCGATGCCGACTGCTTTGTACGACCGGCTTTCGTAGCTGTGGTGGGGAGAATAATGGACGTAGCAGTTGGGAACTCGGGAAAGGTGCGTCATCTGTTCCTATGCATCGAGCCTATGCAATGAAAGACCTAGGCAGGGTCATTGGGGATGTACAGCTTCTTGACCGTAGTAAAAAGTCTGCTACTTCGATTGCATTCCAAGTTTAAAGTACACACCCTTATAATATCCTGAATCGTTCGACATAGACCGGACATTCGTATGGCTTTCGGACGTTTGTACAAGTCACGAGAAATCAAGTGCTCTGGCAATCACCAAAACCTGCGAGGTTCCGCATTTTACAAACTACAGCACAGACAGCGAAATATTCCCTGCAGCTTGTTCATTTACCTTTGTTTTTGAATCAATGAGCTGGCTGAGTTACGGCGCCAGAAACTGCCTTCGGATTTGTGGTTTTCTTATCCATACTCTTTCTTAAATTTATATTATGAAAATGTGTCTGTAGTGTCGCAGTTGTAGTAAAAAGAGCTAAAAATCCCAATCCTGATATATTATTTTTATAATTTTAAAATATTTTACTTATTTATTATGACCATATAGCAGCTCTATTGCATTACTTCTTTGGCCTTGATCTCCAATTATGAATCACTCACAGGTAATGTCTCCTGTAGTTGAGGAAAGGTTTGCCGCCGGGAGCTTCGCCGAAATTTGCCGCCTGTCGGTTCCCGTACAAGAAATCCGCCTGCTTGAAGTCGAAGAAGACAGGGAAACCCAACTCGGTGGTAACCAAGAGGATCAAATCGTCGCTCAAGAAGAAGTTCTTGAAGTGCACTTCGCGTCCAAACAGCTTTCGGATCGTTTCGGCCGGGTCGGCTAGAAGGCAAATGCGAAGACGTCACAAACAAATATTACTGGATGTTTATCGTCAATTAACTGCATAGTTACCATGGCCCTGCAAGGAAGCCAGGAGGGACTCGTCGAACTCCAGGATGTTGACAGCGTTTCCAAAGAGTGACAGCGAGAGGCGACCATACAGAGGGTCGTAGTTCCGGTCCGCAATGGGAAGCTGCGACAGATCAGCGGATGAGATCAGGAGCGTTTTCTCCATGGAGTTCCGCAAAAACAAATGCGCAGAAATATCACATCCTACCGTCCTTTTTACTATGGTGTCTGGAGCGCGTCTCCAACTGACCAGTGTGTTTACCGCTACTTCAAAACTGTGGTCCCATCATTTCTGCCTCGTGTCATCATAAAAGTGTCATGTTGTTTGTCGCCATCCAGGTGGTGGCAGTGTAGCAGAGGTGATTGTGGCGGACGCATGTTCCGCTCCAGGTCTCTCTGCAGGTGGACAGTCGATAGAATACAAAGCACAAACCAATTGGGGCGCCGTGACGACAGCGACCCTTGCGTCCGCTCGCCTTTTCCGTCAGCCTTTCTCCCAACCAACAACAACCTACCACCATTTATTTTCAAGCAAAACACATTGGCTCCCCAGTGTGTTCGCACTTCGGGACTACCTTGACTGTATGGGTGAGATAGGACCGTAAACTCACCAGTCGAACACGCGTTCCAGACTTTGTAGTTGCGCCTTACGAAGGACCGCAGCGAACGCTACGGCCCATCCTAGCCAATCCGGCACAGCAACAGCATCACGTGACGGTGCCCCCGCGCGTCGCTGCACCCTCTCAAAGAGACCGTGAAACTCGCGCGGTATTAAATTGTCTTCGATGGCTCGTGGCGTCCTTCGCAGTCGTTCGTAAAGCTTAACGGAGTATGCTTTCATTCTTATTAAGATGAAACAAGTTACTTTCGATTCCAAAAATACACTCTATAGATGTTGGATTTGTAAGGACAGAGAAGAGAGAGCTTACGGCGTCTTCGATATTCTTGCGTTCCTGGGTGGACGTGTCCCTCGTGAAGCGGCGCCTGCTGAGGACGTTCCAGAGATTCCTGGTCGATCCGGGTTGGGGTCCCACGAGAGCGTTGAGGAGTTTATCGACGCCCCATCCTTCGTAGCTCAGTGCGAAGGTGTCGTAGGCGTAGCCCGCGATGTAGTGCTTGGCATCGAGGTAGACTGAGTTGGGCAGAAGACTGTCTTCCGATCGAATCACGGAGAGAAGAGACATGCTGCCCATGTCGTATTTGGCTGTGAACAAAAAGAAAACAAAGGTAACGCGTATAAACTTAGCTTAAAAGATATTCTGGACTATTTAGATAATACGAGAACAACTAAACGACCGGTGGTGTTTGCTGGCAGTGGGGGACGACTGTATTTAAAGAACAATTTTCTAATATTATCTTTTTTTTTTTATTTCAAGCGAGCAAGACCATGAGGTTTAACATACGGCAACCAATCTGAGCGTTACCTTCAGATAGGTGTCATAACCGTACCATAATCATTACGTCTCTCTAACGTGTCCTTTTCCTTAAAACACTTGTGACGACCAATCGCTGCAAATAATGGAGGTAGCTCAGGGAAGGACGAGGATGCATGACACTAGGGTTAGGCCTAAAACGAACAGTCGGCAATGTGAGACAGAGCTTGGTGAACGTTGTACTGAATGTGACAGCGCAGACTGTTTTTGTACAGGTCTGAACTTCATTTCTGCCTCGTTATTTGGCCAGTTTCCTCCGTAGATTCCAGCGACTGGTCCTCCCAAGTGCTTTGCAGAGAAGACCATGCTAGACATTTCTTATTGCGCAGACGCTAAAAAAACGCTTTCTTCCCTCAAGCCTTCTCGAAAATTAGCGAACCAGATACGATTTGTTCGTTTTCAGACAAATTGTATGGTTCAAACAAATCTTTGTGGTTCAAGGCACGACTGTTATGACCTGAGACACGCGTATACATGAGTGCTATGCTGCCAACTGCTGCGTTGAGCTTTGGACTTACGATCGTAGGCAGCCGATACGCGCACACTCGACTTGGTGATGTCTGGTTCCATGGCAAACCGCTTGACATTGTCCCATAGGGGTACCACATAGCGCAGCTTCTGGGCCCTGGAATCAAGATGCACATTGCAAAAGCTAAAGTGGGCAGATATGGAAGTTCCGAACACTTCGCTATTACAATTCTTTTAGAACAGGTCTGCTCTATATGTGGTTCTCACAACCTGCGTCTGAAAACTTGTACAAGGTTATGGGGCACCCTTCACATATCGGCATAGGCTGACAATGTATGTTAAACTGCTATGTCCTGGTAACTAGGTTCTTCTATAATACGCAACAAAACTCCTCTGGAAGAGTATAGGCACTAACGTTTACGGTTGTTACAAAATAGTTTTGGTAGATCGTTCCGACGACTCTGATAACGATACTCGATACCCGATACTCTGCCGCCACCTTTGTGCATGCATCGTGATTCGTATCCTTAACGGGGGTATATGGGACGTATCGGAACAATCCACTAACACTTTTTAGCATTGGTGACAGCGTGCTAATAACCATTTTTCGTGAATCGTAAGCCGCGGATTGCGGGCTTTGTGATCGCCTGCCCGATGTGTGCTCAACGTGGTGGCATGAGCTCCCGTTAGCTTCCCCCTTGCAATGCAAAGCTCTTGCAAACGATCTGCGTAAGGTCTCTTAATATTCCAAACTCCGCGTAAACGCTTCGTATATATTTTATGGCCCTTTTAAATATTACTCCTTTTTTTTTTTGGTAGTGAGCGCTTTAGATAAACTTATATTTAGAGGAGTCAAGGAAAATACTTTCATTTTACTCATCATGATCATTTATGACAAGTGTTTTAACCCTGAAGTGGGACTTTTCCCTACCCTTGCATGTTTAAAGAAAAGTGTAATGCTGAGGCTCCATTTGTATGCAAAAAATATTTTTGGTCCGATTGTCTTTCACTTCATGCAAGTCTAACACTCCTAAAGCCTTACCAGCTGTTTGGGGCAATCGATTGATTGATTGATTGATTGATTTGTCTTGAGCGCCGTAGGGTTGGCAATTAAACAAAAATTATAACAGTAAACAGGAAAACACCACTCTAAGCAAGTTCGTTAGTTTAGATAGAAAGAGGGTAATGGATTCAACGAATTTGGTAGCATTCTTTATAGAAACTATGCTGTGAGGTAGTGAGCTTCAATCCTCGATATCCAAAGGTAGTGTGGAAGTGTGGTAAGAAACAGCTGGGGGATTAAATTGGACGTAATTCACATGAGTGATCTAAACGAGGGAACATGCGGCGGGTAGGTGATAGTAATGATTCTCTACTGATGGGATTGTGGTCGAGAGGCGATGTGACTGCGCGTTAGAAGCATTTGAAGAATAGAAAAATTCCTCAGTGGTTGCGTCTTGCTCATTGTAACCATATTGTTTGCCTATTATGCGGTGTCTTAAAAACCGCTGCTGTCACATATAAGTAATCGTGCAATGCGCACTGACCGCATTCGCATCTCCACAAAAGTGAACATGGAAAAGAAACACGTACATTTCAGCGTTGCATGGGAAGTTGGCCTTCCGGAAAGTCCTGAAGGCGGATGTAACGAAAGAGGCCAGTTGGTCGCTTGGATCGCTAATGATGTTCTTGGCGATGTGACGTAATAGGTACAGGTCAGGGTTTGTTACCAGGATCGTCGCGAAAGCGGCCACCCGTATCACGTGGGGCTCGCTCACGTTCTCGTACACAGGGAGGGCGATCAAGCGAGCCTGTAAAAATCCCGTTTTGGTGTTAGTACTTTCACTAAGCTCCATTATATCAGAACTGTGTTCGAGCTAATGCCGTTTCTCATTTTGTTAATTAGAAGTTGGAATGCCTTCGGCTATCGCGAATTCTACAGTATTGAGCAAGCGTGAACAAACGAACAAACGGGTTAGATAAAGCAGCAACGCAACGAATACTGGTCAATGTACGCACAAAAAATTTAAGAATTATGAGTTTACGCGCGACATTTAAGTGAGCACTCCGTGTTTGATTGAATGCCTGCAGCCTCTATAGTTCGTGCTCTTTCGTCAAGCTTAGAATATGCGGGGCATAACTTATTGTGTTCACGTTTTTCCACTGTGATGTGTTCCTTTCCGTTCCTCTTAGCCAGGGATGGGCAAAATACATGCAAATATGTATCGAAATACAAATACAAAATACTTCGTCAAAAATGTATTTAATTACAAATCTAATTACATTTCCAAAAAAAGAATTTAACTACAAGATACAAATACAACCAAATGCATTTGGTCTCCTCCAAATACTTTTCCAAATACATTCCTCAAAATTTGCGTCAGCGACTTCAGAGAAACCTGCAACGAGTTTCTGGGTATCTCATTTTAATTTTGCATCACACACTCGGGAGTTAGTGTGCGAAGCTCTAGTAACGTAATAAAAATATAAAAAAATGTAATCAGCTTGGACGTAATAGGTAAAAAAAGTAGAAAGCTTCAAGCAGCTTTTTTTTGTCGATTACATTTTGGTATAGACCAACAAGGAACCGAGACGACCAAGACGCGCAGCACTATCTAGAGAATTTTTTATTGTTGCAACCCGCACCAGTTACTAAAATCTGGGCGGCTCGCGCATTTAGAATGTTCCAGGCAAAAATATGGATGGAAATCAGGCTGGAAAGCATCACAAGTTGTCACAGGCAATTATTTATCCAGTCTGCATGAGAACGTCGATTTCGTGACTGTTCTTGCCCTGGACTAGCACAGTAATCACGAAGTCACTAAACGCTTCTGCTTGATTGAGAGACACTGCATTCAGTGGAGGACGTACTTTTCTTCGTGTTCTGGGCAGTGCCTTTAAAGTAAAGCCAAAGGAGAAAAAGAAAAAGCCCCATGGCCGAATAAAGGATGGAGACTATATCTTACAACCACATGCATAAAAACAGGGTGTATTTTAGCAAAAAAAATTGTATTTAATTACAATTGTATTTGAAATACCCACGTTTGGGTACTTGGGTTGACTGTCAGCGCAACTCTTCCATAGGCCTCTTAGTAATCAAAATGTGTTTTCTTCTGTCAGTGCTGGTTACTTTGAACTTCACTTTGTCCCCAAGAGTTTGGCCCCATTGCGCCCTCTTGTTGACTGCCCCGTTGAAGGTTGCCCACCTTCTTCGTGGACCCTTGTTGTCTGGTTTGAAGTGTCTTTCACAATGAGAAATTGTAGTAGACCGTTTTCCTCCTTCGCTACGGTATCCGTGAACAAAACGCCACAGCGGCGCATGCGCTCTGTCAGCTTTATCTGCATAGTTCAAAATCTTCACTCTAAAAAAAGTCTGTGCGTCTATTTTCCCGCACAACACTCGGAGAGCCGATCACCGCAACCTACGGAGGCAGCTCAGCGAATGACGATGCCGAAACATATGTTTAGACCAAAAAACGCAGTCTGAGTTGGGACATTAAGGAATGCAAGCGTGACGTTTTGCATGGTGTAAAAAGACACCCTATCCGGGTGCTTAGCGGGCTGCGGAAACGGTCTACTACAATTCCCCATTATTTTGGTCGAAGCGCGTCCGGGGGGGGGGGGGGGGGGGGGGGGGGTTTCTTTGAACGTCGTCTCAGCTTAAGGCCACATGCAGCCGACGCTACGCGCTAATGGGACCAATCAAGCATCGTGAAAAGCGCGAGTCATGAAGTATTAGCTGTTGATGATTGGTTCAGCGATGATAGAACACGTACATAAACATGACGAACACCATGATGGTGCGCTTTGTACGCTGACTGGTTGCTCCTATCAGCATATATTACAGTAACGAAGTGGGAGTAATTATCAGATTTAAAAAAAAGTTGTACCATTTCTCGTCTTCACTGTCTGTTTCAATTTGCGATTTTTTTTTCCGTCGATAAAAGCCATTTTAAGCGTCTGCACGAGACAATTCACCGAAATGCTCCGGTAGTTTGGAAGCAAATAAACGCCGAAAAGCATCCGCCGAGTTTTGACATAAGGAAACACCGAAAAGTTTATGGCCTAGATATATTACTTACTACGTAGCTAAAGTACGTGTTGAAAACTACAAAGTTAAAAAAAACTGAGGTTTTGCAGCAGGGCCAACAAAACTTTGAGTGTTTCATTGTAGTCTTTCATGTGTACATTAGCTATTTTAGTAAGTTGTATCACTTGACTATCAAGCCGCTCAAGGAAGTTGGTATGGTCGGTTCGACTTCACTGGACTGAACGTACAATTGTCGTTTTTGGAGTGTTACATTACATATGATACAAGGGGTGTAAGTACTACACTTCTATTTCTGAGAGAGTACTTTCCACTCCTTGGATTTCTTGAGGTCTCACTGCCCACAGTACATGCATTGCCTTCGATGCAATGGGTATGGTTTCACAGACCAGCTCTGGGTTCTTGGGGGCAGCTCGCGTGAGGGACCAGAAGGCGGCAGCCCTCCGGGGCGTGGCCTGGTTGGTCTTGGGGTCGATGAACCTCTGCAGGTAGCGGCACGCGCTCCTGGTGGCAAGGTTGCCAGCCGCCACGAGATACATCGTGACGTGCGCCTCGGGCCCATCTTTGATGTCTTCGGGCCTCATGGAATACTGCCATGCAGAAAAAAAAAAAAAAAAAGCAGAAAAGAGACTTGCTGTACATTTGATGCGGTCTCGAATTTTGCTGCCTTGTGACTCCGTGGGACCTCATGTTTAGGCAGCAACCAAGCAGTATGTGCATGCGTATACAGTATCCGTATATGAGACAACTCAAAATGACAAGGACAACAGTGCTAGATGTAGATTATACAATACAGAGCACGTGGTTGTCCCGTATTCTCTTTGTAAGTAGTTCTTTTCCTTTTGCCCCATGTATTTCACAAAAGATCAGGCATTTTATTTCTTAATGCAGGATTTATTTTTGGACGGGTCTTTATATTGGGCACTTTCATTCTCTTGCGTGCGACCATCCTTATACGTGTGCATTGATTCTGACTGCTTATACACGACTGTTACAAATATTTAGGTACCTAGATGGAAAAAAAACGAGTTTTGGGTGATCAAACGTTCGACCTCCAGAAGGATGACCGTCCGGTTTATCCCTCTCTGCACGTAGCACTGGCTATCCTTAGAGCAAATCCACTGCTATGGTTCGATACGAACGCACGATGGCCGTTCATATCAAAACTGGACAAAGTATAAGTTGAGTCCATAACATATTAGTCTGTAGCTCACGCTCAGCAGATTCTTAAGCTTGCTATTATGAAAGCTTTCTGACGATCGGAACCGGCCCGCGTGCGATGACTCACGTTGAAGAAGTGGCGGACGATGTCTGGTGAGCAAAGACCATCATCTTCATCTTGGAGAGTCCTGGCGTGGACGCACTTCTCACCTCCAGCCAACGCGCTGAGGGAGAGGACGCAAGCGGACTTCAGGGCTCCGTTCGCTTTCACAAAGTCGGACTGGCAGACTTCCTGAAAGAAGGAAACAGCCAAAAATAGATTAACTTTAAGAAAAAGAAGCCCAAGAGCGTGGTAATAACAGTTTAAATAATGCACTCATGGCAGCGGGCTCTCGCCGTCGTTGATAAACATGGCAGTCTTCATTTTAGTTCCACATTTTCTGCTTGTTTAACGTTTTGCTAATAAGCAAAACTTAAAAATAGTCTCGCGAAATGAAAAAATAAAAGAAGGAAACAAAGTCTAAGGAACGTAGACTACAGAGTAAAAATAATAATTCAAAAGACAAATCTCGTCGCAATGAAGTCGTAGGAATTGTCATAAGCACTATGCGGCCGACTGGGGAAAATCTGTTGTAACAGCGTATAAAACTTGGCTAGTTAGGTATGAAACACATTAAAGAAGAACTACCTGAGATCACTGCAATATGTTAGTAAAACCTGACTTCTTAAAGGGTTGTTTTTCGCAATATTGTGCAAGACTATTCTAACACCACTGCAGTGTAGTTTTTCTTTTTTTTTTTCAACAATTTTTAGCGATAGCATAGCCAAATGTAAACTGAAAGCTTTTTGTAAAACTTTATTTTACGTTAAGTGAACCAATATGTTGCTTTGGTTTGGTCTCTAGAATGCTAGTGACTGAACTAACAAGGGAGTTTATAGGGAAAACCTAACGGTGTTAACACTCCTCTTTCGTGATAAAGTTCCCCCCTAGATGCAGGGCTGACATACACACAGTGCTTTTAGTATAGTTACCCACACATCTCAGACGTTGGCGAGGCTAATAATTTTGGCATTCGTTTATGATTAGTCAATTGCCTTTTTGAAGTGTACTTCCTGAGCGTAATCATCCGATTCTCACACCACACCTCGATACAGTTACAGGTTTTACTAAGATATTGAGGTGGGCTAGTTAAAAATGCATGATATAAAAATAAAAATACAGGTTCTATTTGAGCTATTTGGTTCATGCTTTGTTAAACTGGACAGCTGCACCATTTAGACGAGACACGTAGAGGTGTATCTCGTGCTTTGTATAAATTGTTCAACTGTCCAGGTTAACCATTGGGAACTTACCCTGCCGTTCTTAACATGCTAATCACTTTAGTGCGTGTGTAGATGCTGTAAGCTGACAATAATAATCTTTGGAGAAGGGGAACAAGGGGGACAAAGGACAAACTGTAAGCTGAGCTTCCAAAAGATAGTCAGAATACAGAAGAACGCTTAAGCTTCGCCTTTAAGAGTGGAACGCTATAGCTACACATAAAAAAAACCTCTCAATCCCAAGTCGTGCAAGCATGTCTACGTAGCCTATTCGGGTGGCGATGTGGGTTAGTTGGTTCATACTGACAGCGCTTGTCCTGTTTGCACTTCCTCTAGTCCCCGTTTACTGCGCGCTGCATGTTTGCCTTTTCGTTAGCCTAGTCGGTAGCCATGGCTCTCAGCCGAGGGGTCGTGTTCGAATCCCGCCTCCGCCTAAAACTTCCAAATTTTCCCTTTAAAGCGTATGGACTACTTTAGAAAGTGAAATCATTGGAAACATGCGGCAACCTCAAATTCCCGTCACATGTCATGTTTTAATCACTCATTCCACGCGTGTTGTCACGTTTCACTTGACCGTTGTGGGTTGATTAAGATTCCCGCGCGCGAGGTCATGTGGTTGTGACGTCATTACCCTACCGACCAATCAGGATTTTCGCGGCTTTCCTGCGTCGCGCCGCCGAGGCCGGCACAACACGAGCTCCTTAAGGTTATAGCTTTCAAATGTAATGGCAGATCAACGACGTACCGCGATCTCGTTGAGCACAGCCACGCTGTGTTCTTTCAAGTTTGACGGAAGTCTGGAGAGGTAGCTTTGGGCCTCTGACACAGAAAGTTGTCCAGCTTTGACGAGCCTCAGACCAAAGGCAACGTGGGGGTTGTTTCCTGCTGCCACCAACAGGTCCATGAACAGGTGCCTGCAAGGCATGCTACGCTGTTACCTTCAAGCTATAGAAACGACATGATTCATGTGCGTTTCATAAAACAATCTCAATAGATAAGCACACACATCTAAGCAACGTGATCTGTCCACCGGAACTCTCGGCAACACCACGCAACTACGTGAAATTGTCAAGAATGTAAAAATGTAAACTGCAAACGTCCCTAAAGTTAAAATAGTGATGGCACAAGTGAGCTGGTGTAGATTTGCCGTTTTCGTAAACGTCCTGAGACGGCGTGAAGAACGAGAAGGATCCAAAGGGGAAGAAAACGAGTGAGGGGTGGTAGGTTCGCGACCTTGAGAATGGCGTATATATGAACCTGGTGCTGTTTTAACAATCAGCTGAGATTGAGGCTTTGACTTCTGTCCCGATGTTCCTTTCTCTTTCAGTATGAAAAATTCTCGTCATTCAGCCATTTATTACTACATTTTAAAATGCCTGGAACTACCGAGAGTCACTGTTTCTTCTTTTTACGTTTCAAGAAACAGCGGAGGAATTTTTTTTTATTCAGGTCCCGAAAATATTTTTTTACTTTATGTTTATTCTTTTCTTTTCGCACACATTATGGTGGTACCATCACAATTACGTCATCGTCACTGTCAGCGCTCTTGGTGTGTGTGCGTGTGCCTTATTCTACTGATCCTCGTGTTCTCAGCGCTTTTAATCGCCAGAGTGTATTACCAACTATAGCCCAAGTAAACCCCATTTCACAGGTCACTATCAGCTTAAGAAATGCCGTGTGACCTATTAAAAACCCCATTTCTTGATTTATGATTCGTTCTTCAACGTTGGAATTTTAACGCATTGGAAAATGAACGAACCGAACGTTGGTCCTGGTGTCTTCGGGCGCGTTGAGCACATGTTGATTGTAGACTTCTGAAAGATCGTCGTACGTAAAAGTCACAATGTCTAAGAACAGCAGAAGGAACTGCAAGCCTGGGCTTTCCTTAGCGGGGATGTCCTTGTAATCTTCTTCCGTGAATTCAAGCTTTGCCAGCGAGTTCATGCCTGCGACAAACTGTTGGCAAAAAAAAAACTATTGTTGATGCAAGAGTTAATTCATATATATTTTTACACTCTGTCTCCTCGGTATTTTTCTGGTTAATTCAGTGTATCGTGTTTTCTGAGCGGGGTAGTGAATTGTTCAAAGACAAGTCTGCGCTTTAGGAAAAATATGCTGTGTGACATGTTTTGGTTTGCGTCAAGCTGGGGCAATCACTGTTAAGGAAAACTAGGGCTGGGCAATAGACCGATGAATCAATTAATGCCTTAATCGCGATTAATATTTTAACCAGTTAGTCCGTAAAACTTTGATAGACAAAAATATAGTAATTAAACGCTTTTGCCGTCAGGACGTGGACAAGAAAGAACACCTGCATGAAGGGCCCACTTTATGTGAAATTTTAGTCTGAAGGAAGCTGTAGGGCCCAGATATGTAACTCCAGGCAAGTGCAGAAGGTTGCGCGTATCCCGGCCACTTAAACGCCGTGCTTTTGTAGGTGGCACGCTTAGAGTAATATGGAAGCGCCTCCCACCTCTTTCCATTTTAAAAGAGGAAACGCTGGAAAGGAGATCGCCTGCACTCCAGCGTTCGCTCTGCTAAAGTGGAAAGAGGTGGGAGGAGCTTCCACTTTACTCTGAACCTGTCGCCGACTATAAGTGCCCGTTTGGCGCAGCAAAGACTAGTGTGAACATTCAAAGGATGTCGCTCTTGCCGTAGAATGTGAACGAACCTCTTTGATTCATGTAGGTGAAGTAATATTCCGCAAGTGTGTTTGTCTTTGAAATTGTCTCAACTACGCACACATCGTGGTTGATTAATAATCGAAATTGTAGATATTGCGTCGTTTATTACATTTTCAAAAAGAAAGTAACAAACAAAAAAGTAATTTTGACTTTTACAAATTTTATGCGGAGAAATGAACGAGAAAAATTGATTTACCAATTAATCAAATATATGGTGGCGATTAATCGGGCTAAAACTTTTAATCGAAGCCCAGCACACTTAAAGTTAGCTCAGTATTGTAACCAATGTACATAAATAGAGTATGGGCACTACAGGACGTTACAATCGTCGACCCGGCTTTAAGGATAGTAATTCTCCCCGACTGCGAAGAGTAATGGTGCTCAAATCTAACCCTTCAAGAGTTCACTATTACCAAAGATGGATGACCGTCACAGTCGCCCTTCGGTGGGTTAGTTTCGGTTTCGAAGCTTGTCCTAGGATGACATTCCTTGCCCCGTACGCTCGGTGTAATTTGTTTTATAAAAATTTCACGAAACACTTAGAATATAAAAAGGTCGGGCATCAATTCTCTGACTGCAATATTTTCCCAAAAATTACGATTTTAAATTATTATAATTTTTAGACAATTGACTAACTAGTTAATAGCTTATTTTTTCTATGTGGCCCCCATATCCCCCAACTTAGTCGCAGGGCTAACAAAAGCCCCGACTGAAGTTACCTATTCTTTTTCATTCTACACTCTAAAAAAAACGTGTGTCTACTTTTCCGCACAACACTGAGACAGCCAATGACCGCAACTTATGGAGGCAGCTCACCTAATGACGATGCCGAAACATACGTTGAGACCAAAAAAATGCAGTCCGAGTTGTGACAATAGAGAGTTTTAGTAGACCGTGTTTTCCCCTCCGCTTAGCCCTTTCGCTACCCGGAACTCTACAGCCAAGGCCATCGGCATGCAGGCGCAGTGTCGGTTTCTTCGTTGCGGAGGGTTAGTGGGGGGGGGAAGCACGGTCTACTAAAACTCCCTATTAAGCAATGCAAGCGTGACGTTTCGCCTTGCTTATTATCACAACTCAGACTGTGTTTTTTGGTCGAAACATATCTTTCAAATCGTCATTCGCTGAGCTGCCTCCGTAAGTTGCGGTGATTGGCTCTCAGTGTGTTGCGCCGGAAAGTAGACGCATGGGCGTTTTTTAGAGTGTAGTCCCCTCTATGAAAATAAGCACCCTGTGTAAGCTACGCGCTCGGTCCACCCATTTTAGACAACGACGGCTCGCGGGGACGCCACCAACTCGCAGAACGGCAGAGAAGACTCAAACGTACGTGTTCTCGAGTCGCGCGCAGCCCAAAGTCTCTCACGTAGCGATTCAGCTGCTGGAGGTCTTCGTGGGTGTGCACCCCACCGGAAGTGGGAAAGGTGTGGGACAGCTGCTGATGGACGTCCACTTCCGGAAGCTGGACGTCCTCGGCTGCGTCCCGTTCTTCTAGCAAGTGAAGAGCTTGGCTACCGGCAGAAATGGAACGGATTCGATTCCGATGAAGCGATAAACAGTCCACTACATACTTTATAGCATGCGAGGCATATACCCATTAATTACATAAATGGAAACTGAAGTACTCAGCAGATGCAGAGGTCGACACCAAAAGTGAAAGGTATATAATTTCTTTGAGTTAATAATTCTACCTCTCTAGAAAGACCGAATCTCGCACTCATATGAGCACGTAAGTTTCATGTTGAACCAACAGACCGAAGCTGTTGGTTTTGTGTTTGTCCTTTGTCCCTCTTGATCCCCTTCTCCAGGGATTATTTTCGTCATTCTTGTCCAGCTCGCTTGCACCTTTGCATTTAATTGCATTATAATCTAAATCACAAGTATGTTCGAAAACAGGCGACGGGTTGCATATATAAGTAAGACCTATTCACACTCCTGGTTTTACCGCAACGAATCACGAACTGAATTTTAATTTAACTCGTACCTAACTTAGAAAATTGCTGGGGTCAGATTTATCTGAGCAGTAGGGGTTAGGCAGAAAATAATAGAGAAAACGAAATGTTGCTTTAAACGAAGAGGTCAAGCAACAAAAACAGCGACACACTTTTGTGTTTTGCTGGGACTTCACTTACTCGACATGAATTTGGAACGACTTTCCGTCTCCGTAAGGTGCGAAGACCTGGTCGGAGGCTCCAGCTGCCTCCTGGATCACGTACTCGTCTCGCGTGCCGCTGAGTTTATACTTTGTGTCAGACGACACCGAAAGAGGTACCTGCAAGGCAGTTCCGCAGCGGAAACAGAGTTTTAATAGCCCCGTACGAAGTCATTGCTATTGTCCTTTATTGACAGAGTGAATAGCATGTACTCTTCCTTACCCATTTTGCTTTCTAAATAAGTTTCGTTTATTAACCTGCGCACATAAAGATTAGGATCACACAAAGGATCTACTCTATAGTCAATGATAGCTAAGGGCGTGGCTTATTTCTCGCTTTGTGATTTGCTCGGGTTGTAGTCTCATTGGTTGAGGAGCAATAATGAGATACTCGGATCTTGTCATGACTTTCGTTTGCATTATAATGGTAAGGATCGAAAGTTCTTAGATTTGGTAGCCTGAGCCACACACAGCACGAGGCTTTTGTCGCGCAATCCGAATGCGATCGAATTCTTTTGACCTTGCAGCTGTAGCTTTCGGTGGGCCCAATGTTAGAGAAAGATCAAGTATGTATAGTTTCGTTTTTCACGAATGCCCGCGCGACGGTTTATTTTCTCGGCGAGTAAGAGGAACATTCATAACCTTGCGTCTCACTGCGTTTTGGTGTCGCTTCTATACTAAAGTCGGTGAGAACTTGGAAGCTGCTTATTGTGTTCTTACTACTTGTTCCATATATTTTTTTGCGTTTTTATAATTTAAGGCTACTACAGTACAATTGACGACAGAGCGATAATAATACGTCCAGGCTTAGCCACCCAATGCATTTATTAAGCTGGGAATTACAGTGGAGTACTGCAAAAGTACACCAGGATGATTGTAGAGTACTATTCGATGTTGACCTCCCCCCCCCCCCCCCCCCCCCCCTTTCTCCATAACGTCTGCCGCCTATGGAAGAGGAAACAAAAAAAAACATATGAAGGAGGAAACTATGAACCGAAGGTACAATGTCTGGAAAGCGTCTCCGACTGGTGTGTGTACCGCGTCCCAAAAACTGGTCCTTCGAGTTTCGCGGTAGCAGTAGTGCATCTGGCAGACGTCTGTGCCTATTATAGCAGCTGTAGGTGGCTCTTCATCTTGACAGCTCACGGAAGTTTCGGCAGCTTGTATGTTCAGACACTACGACGATAGAAAAACTCGCTTTCTCTCGTACTGTTTACCCGTATTTCTAGCGCCGACCGCCAGGATCGTGACATCGACAGCATGACACTCCGGCTTCTGTGACATCACTTGTTGCCACTTCATGACCGCTCTTGATATATGGTCGAAATAGAACGATAAAGTCCACCAGTCAGAGACGCCTTCCAGGCACCACAGTATAAGCACTTTTGGATCCTTAACGTTTGTTCTTAAATTCTTAAATTATAACATTTTAGCATCATAAAACATTTAAGGTTCGGCAATGAACAGTATATGCTTACTGTTTGCTGAGCTTTGCAGTTCACGCAGCTGTAACCCTTGACTCTGCCGTAGAATGCGTGCGCCAGTTGTCCACACCGTTCGAGGTCCTTTATCTTGGTAACGTCCACATGGCCGCCCTCTTCAGCAACGACGTACAAGGTTTCACAGTTGCCATTGAGTCCATCCTTTCAACAGAGATTGATTTAGCAGTATAAGAGTTTTATTCGCGCGATATCAGGCTTTGTTGCAGTTCCGCCTTCTTCCAGATTGTCTAATTATTTAGAGATCAATTTCGCTGCCCGATTGCAGGCCAAACCACTTCCAGACTCTTGCACTTGAATACATAACCCAGTCAAGCTGCTTTTAGCAGCTTTTTATCTGGGGACCCCTCCAGTACGTCTGGAAAAATAAAGTTTATTGTATTGTTTGTATTGTATTGTATTGTAAGTGGGCCCCCAGTCAAAGACAAGTAAACTTTTTTTTTTTTTCAAAAACTCTTAACAACGCTGATTTTGGGTAGACATACCAGTTCTGTCATGGCGCGAGATGCTCGAATTGTTATCCTTCTGGGTTGTGGTGACGTCAGAACGCAGAGTTCTGATTGGCTCTGATTGAAGGGTAATTGGTAGACATCATGGCAGCTTGCTTTGAGGTCTACCCACTATACCTCAGACAGAGCCAATTGGAGCTCGGCGTCCTTCTGACGTCACCACAACCCCTGTTTGTGCTGCAGATTTCGCTGGGCGTTCTAAATTTACTTTATTTAACTATACAGGGCGATTGCGTTTGCTGTCTATTAGTCTATTTGGTTTAGCTCTGGTATTGCCAATACTAAATAAGTATTGAGTCCAGCTAACCTGGCATTATTTTCAGAATTTCAGTTACAATATTAATGGCTCTACATCAAGAGGAAAGACAAGCAATGTCAGTTCTATTGCCGCACTTTTTTGCTTACCTCCTTAACTTTGTAGTTGCTGCTGTCGCGTGTTATGTGCCTGGTTTGTGCGAGATCCAGTTGAAACAAACTGAGCACACCCTTCTTGATGTTGTGGGACCAAGTCGGTTCATGCTTGCCTAGTTCATAATGTTCAACCTGAATATAAGACCAGATAAAAAAAGCGTCATCAGGGCGCCTATAGCTGTGTGCATTTATGCTCTTTTGAAAATGAGTGTTTGTATTCATCATTTGGAAGAAGAAAAAAAGAACTCGCCGTTAGTTTTGTTAGAATGTTCGAAATATTTACCATTCTCTCTGTTATGCTAGTTTTTTTTTCTATACTTCTTATTTTCACTTATCCGCAGCGATATCAAAGGCACGAAAATGTTACTCGAAATATTGTCTTATATTCTCACGATAACTCGGGTAAGAAACCCATTTTCGGAAATCACGCACCCGTGCTTCCCGCAGCTCTGAGGACAGGGTGTAGCAATACAGGGCCACGGCGATTGATGAAAGAGTCAGCGTTAAAGAAGAGCAATAAAGAGTTGAGACCGCTGAGGTGACTGTTAAGGCCTGTTCACACTCTTGCGACCGACTACGACTGAGAGAGACGAGTTCTTTTAAAACTTCTTAAATGTTTTTAGAATGAGGGATCACACTGACATTGTGGCGCCATCTATGTGGTGACGAACTGCATTTCACAAGAGCGAAGGTTTTGCGGGATTTCCGAAGTCAAATTTGCGTAATACCCATAGAAAGGCTCGTTTATAACATTGACAAAAGTTTTCCGAGCCAAGAAAAAAAGAATAATGCGCGAGAAATAAAAAAAAAAAAATATATGCCGGACCGCCGAGTTTACACTGCTCGCCAATAGATGGCGCCAGTGTGTTTTCTGGTTTAAGAAGTTTTAAGGAACCCAGGTTTAAGAGGTCGCAAGAGTGTGAACGGGTCTTTAGCCCGAGGATTGCGACTTGGATCTGAATAGCTTTTTGTTTGTGGTTGTGTATTCAGAGCCTGATTATGGAAAAATAATTATTAGTAGTTTTATATTGTTGAACTCATTGTGGTAACATATGCTTGAACCCAAAGTCACTTTTACAAACATGTTTTGTTTAGGTCTATAACAATTACAAACGCAGCATATTTTTTTTTCAAAAACAAATGTTTTCTTTTCAAATGACTGATCATCGACATTTTGATGTTTGTCTTATATCACATCAGTTCTTGAAATAGTCTGCTATGTATATGTACCAGACGTTTAAGCGAAGGCTTTAAGAAATCCCTAGAAATACGGTGGTGAGAAAAGAGAGACTCTTTTCGGATACAAGCTGCCCCACCAGGGCGGACGTCAAGGATTTAAAAAAATATATACTAATTACCTAAATAAATAACTTAAGTGTACTAATTAACTTGATAATAAATAAAAATAAACAGATGGTTCAAAGGGAAATTCTCTAAGCATAATCGAAAACCACTTATTCAACTTATTTTAGAAAAAAAAATGTAAGGCAGGGGCATTTTAGAAAAAAAAAATAAAGCAATCGAAACCTAAAAACGCGTCCAAATTTAGCGTTATTTATTATTATTATTATGTTTTTATGGAACGCCATCAAATGTTGCTTATGCCTCGATCATAGCTTTCTAAAATGAGTTTAGCTGGTGGTTTCTGGTGATGCTTAGCAAGTTTCTTTTTGGAAGCATATGTTGATTTTCACTAATCAAAACGTTAATTAGTAAATTTTAGTTAATAATTGAGCTAACAAGTTTTTTTTTTTTTAAAATTCCTGACGTCCGCAATGGCTGGCAGTTTGTTTCCTAAAATACTTTTTTCTCAGTCACCGAATTTTTAGGGATACCTGAAAGCCTTCGACGAAACACTCTGTATTTATCTTAGCGCTATTCCCCATTCATGAGAAAGGATAGAATCTATCACTTTAGCGCGAGATTAAAACAAATAAAAAATTGGAACTCTCCCAATATTATTGCAATAATTATAACTTGATTATGAGCTCAATTAATAGATTAAAAACAAAATTTTATTCACACTTTGTTTTATAATTAACCTAAAGTCATTGTTTTCGGTTTTTTACGATTGCCGTCCCTGTCAGAAATGCCATAGACGACCGCATAAAGAATTGGGCAAACAAGGCCATATATTAGCACACATATATATAAAATGGCCATGAGTAACCTTACTTTCCCAATTCTTTATATGGCCATATACGGCATTTCTGTACGAGTCATACCATTTTGATCTCAATGACCCTGTCAAAATTAACAATTTGGGGCAAAAACATGACGAATCGTAAAAAAAAAAAAGAATTCTTTAAAAAGAAGATTTCCTCGATTTAATATTTGAAGTATCCCCCTTTATGTCGAGGCATGCATCTACTTAAAACCGGAGATACATAAACGACAAAATGCTGAGCCCCTGCTGCGATTTGCTAGACGCGGTAAGAACTATAGTGTTCAAAGCCACGGTGCCAAAAAAACTCTACTAATTCGCATCTCAAGAACGACTCATTTATCGATAACAGCAGGAGTTTGTTACCGTCGCCGTTTTATACCACTTATTTATACGAAAGATAAAACGACAGGCCTGGCAAATTTTCGAAGCTTAATATAATACATGCGCCTAAGTAAAATAATAAAGCAGAGACGACATGCCTTGCCCTCGTTGAAGGTCCCAGCGAATGGGCGTTCCAGCTGCTGAGAGAGGCTCTCGTGTCGCTGATAGTGGAAGGCATGGGTGGCAAGCTCACTCGGGTCCCCGTGGAAAAGATCTGCTTCAACGTCTGAAAACTAAAAGAGTGGCTTTCTATTTTCGAAGTCCCAAAGTGAACAGAGTGACAATAGTTCCATGGCATATGGCTGGAGGCTCCCAGAGAGGTGGAAATAATTTCTATCTGATATATTTGCTGAGACACTACCTGCAAACCGCCCTTAAACTGTATTTAATATGCTCAATAGCCCCCTTTAATTATTCCAAATATTTGAAACGTTTGAGTGTATCACAAGAAAATCACGGCTCTAGCTACGCGATTGTTTTGTATTTGATGTGTCTCGCAAACAAAAATGCGTTGGAAAAACACACACACACACACAAGCAACATCGTACGGCGATTTCTGCAGAAACTTAGAGCAACTTAATGCTTTCGTTATATAAAAAGTGAATCTGTGCTAGCTGGATGGTTGCACTGATTTGTTCGTTGTCGAATTGCAAACGCTACGCAGAGATATAAATGTGGGAAGGTATATTTCGGAATTTGCTAATATATGTAACAAATCTCATTTCTGCCTCATGACGAAGCGTTCTTATGGTCAGTGTGCATGAACCCTTGAAGATGCTCTTTAACATTAGCCGCTCCATTGATGCGTTGGAGATGTTCTCAACCGTACACTTGCTTGTGTGCCAGGACCATGCATAGTCAAAAGCAAAAGTTACAAAAGAAAAAAAACAACTTCAAATTGTTTACATTGAAGCCGTGTTGATTGTTTTTAATAGTCATAAAACATTGTGGTAGATCCTGTTACATTTTGGTATCTTCACTGAAGGCACGAGATATTGATGTAGCCGCCAAGATAACATGTCCTCAACACGTCTGGAAAAACTATTCTGTACATGATTTACGTTGCACGGTGCAGTGGCCCAGTTTTACAAGTATCTGCTTCTCTCAGTAGCCTGAACGTCTTTCAAAACGCTGAGAGCGCACTGTCGAACATCAACTGACTTAGTGCGTGCCCACCCACATGATGGCTAAGCACAAGTCACGTTTAGTCGCACTCAATGAAAATGAGGAAGATACAGACCTATTCTACAAGAACGCCGCCATTTTGAAATATCGTCGCTTCTAGTTTGGGCGAAAACATTTTTATTGGCGTCGTCATGGCAATAGAATACATTTAGGACATAAGCGTAACCGTCGGACATTCTCGGTTTGTCTCCCCTTTATTTTTTTTTCCTATTTGCAGGTCCAGATGCGTTATTATTTTTTCGTCGCCCATACCGGATATGCCTCCCTGGTGGCTGCGAAAAAGAGGAGGCGAAAAAGTTCCTTATGCAAGGATTAGGTACCTACGTTCACCAAGTTCCTACAACAATTTTGTTTCTTACTTCTTACAAGAGTGCTCCCTAGCTCCATAAGTACTTCTAGTTCCCCATTGCTGAGGAGACTACCCCGAGTTTGGAGGTCCTAACCCAAGCTCATCATATTAAGTCTCTATTCGCCGCATCCGTTAAAAACCTACATTCAATGACAGGTTAAGGATGTAGTTGAAGTACCGCCTCCAGCGCGACCTTTCTGACTTCGATAACACTTCGGCCTATCGTGAGCTAAAGCATGACGGAAGGCGATGACCGCATGCTGGCTGCGGAGGTTCTACAAAATTCTTAACCTGTCACCAACGATAGTTGTTCTTGCGCTAAAATAACGGCGCGTGCTAGACAGCACCATTCATTATACATCCAGATATCTCTTGCCTTGAACACAGTGCGGTCCGCCCGGGGCTGAACAGTGACCTTGCTGCGGAATGCCACGCCGTTGGAATGAACGAGTTGTTCTGGATTCCGTATCTGGACCTTGCCCGAGTAGCTGTAGACGTACTCCTTGCCGGTCTGGAACCCTGCGTTTGAGCCAGGACCAGTGACGTACCAACTAGTTCTTGAGTTGGGGGGGGGGGGGGGGGGCAAACCGGAACACCCCCCCTCCTTCCAAAGCGGGGGGCGGTGCCCTTGGTATCCCTTGGGCGCCGCCGGCTAGTGTCTGCCCTGCCCAGTGGCGGCTGTTTCTGGGGGGGGGGGGGGGGGGGCAAAACACATGCCTTGCCCCCCCAATCTGAAAACGGGGGGGGGGGGGGGGACAAGCGCCCCCCTTGCCCCCCCGGTTGGTACGCCCATGACGAGGACGCGATGTTCACTCGCGACTTTTCGGTCAAACGTGTTAAAGTCACTGCCAATTTAAGAAAAAGGTACGGCGTGGCGAGTCCCGAAAATCTGATTAACTTCCTCAGCCAATCAGGTTGCGGCATTAGGTAGTTCTAGGACAGCGTACGCTAAAGTTTTGCGTGCACAAAGAATACTGTCGTCGACACTGGGCATGCGCCGAAAGCTAACCACGTTTTGTTCTTTGCGTGCGCTATTTTAGCGTACGCTATTTTTCAGAAATTGCGTGCGTACGCAAAAGAGCTTTTTGCGCACCTCCAAGGTGGATTCGTAGTGAGAAGTTGGCTAAAGCCAAGACGAGCAGAGCTAAAAAAATGGCGGCTCCCAGGACCATGGTTGCGGCCGCTTTGACGACGTCTTGAGCCCGACGTCGGCGGCCTCCTCGCGACTGCGATTTTTAATACGGAACGACATTACACTCGGTTTGGAGAACCCAGTAAGGTGGGTAACTATCACCGGTAACTTGATGCTTGCGACGCGCGCACTTTTTTCGGCGAAAGTACGGCTTTCGATGGTCAGTACACGAGACGTCTATCGCCGAGCCAACGCAGGCGGACACGACCGGTCGACGGCTCGTGTCGCATTTTCATGTTTAAACCAATCTAAAATGTGACTCTCTACCAAAAATATATTGTTTTTGACAAGTTGAGCATTTTGTTTGGGAAATAAAATGGTAGTTATCTTGGTGGCGTTGCAAGCGCGAGATGCTTGGGCTTTTGCGTCGCCGGCGGAGAAACGCTCTTCTAAAACTCTCTTTCGTTGTGTGCCTTTACACAAGCGCTAAAATTGTGTACGTTATTTTAAAACTCTCTATTACCCGATGAGAACTCTGAAGAACCAATCACGAAGAGAGAAGCGTGAACATTATCCGCGCTATTCGTTTCTTAAACTTTCAGTGACCGTGCTTACATCACCCGCAATAGCTGACGGACATGCTGCTGTAATTGGGTGAGTCTTCCGTACAAGTGGCCTTACCTTGAGTGTGCTACCAATCGCGATCAACAACGAAACATTGCGAGGCTTGCACAAAAATTATGCAATCTAGGAAAAGATATTTTAGTTTTTAAATATAAGGGTTTCGCACCAATAGTGACGTGTGTTAACATTTATATGTGGCAGCAATCGTCAGACCAGCTTGGCGCGCCGCCATTTCAAGCATGATCGAAGGTCGCAAATATAAGATTTCATGGTCTCAATTAGGGCTTTATTTTGAGAGCTGAACGTTAAAGGTATTAACGCAGATAATTCCTAAAGACTGACAATGCGGATTAACCACTGACCTGTTGAACCTCCAACGCAGGAAAGGGCAAAGATCAGCAGAAGTTCCATGATTGGCAACTTCAAGTGCTTGCTCGCATTTCGTGACAGGCGCCTTGAAAGACTTTCGACGTCGTTTTAAGTCGACACGAGTTCCCAGTCGCGACTACTTGTCAAGACGAGCGAGTGAGACGATAACCCGAGCGTTGCGTGTGACCTTGGCGATCCGGGGGTACAATTTCGAAGTGCCCGGAAATCCTCGAGTTTTCGTGTTATCGCCGTAGACCTAACGCGATTGGCTGCTGCGGGTTTCAGTTCTACGGAATGATACGCGCTCGTTGACAAAGACTCCCCGTGTCAGCGCTTAAGGGTGGGGGAAGCGCCGTCATTCTGACTCATCTACTTAAAGAAAACCAGGAGTTTCTGGTCAAGGTAAAGTTCAAGCTTCACAGAGTCTTATTGCTCTGGGCCATTCAGGACGTTTAGTTTTCTTTTGCGGTCTAAAGACTGCCGTTCGAATGTTCCGAAGTCTGTTATAATTAAGGTTCCGCGTTTTCGGTTTCTATTTTTTCAAAATTCGGCGTACTTTTTTCGGTATTTATTTTAAAATTCAATTTTCGGTTGTTTTCGGCGTATATTTATGCCCGCAAAAGTTTATCGGCTTTTTTCGGTGAATATAAAATAAACACCAACGGACACCGGATCAGATGATCCTTGTACGTAGCTCTGATATTTGTGATCACTCAAAGAATAGCGGCACAGATACATTGAAAACGAAATGGGCACTTTATTTGGAAAATCTCTGCAACTGTAAAAGAAACGAGAAAAAAAACACAGAAGTACAAACACGTCAGATATGGAGCCTATGCCCCCCAAAAAATGCAACATCACCTTCTGTACATCAGGAATACGTGATCTCATTATAGTACACAAACATGTACTTCCCCAGGTTCTCCTCCTTGATCCGCACTCTTTTTTTCCTGTTAATATGACCCTGAGTTTTAAGAGTACCCTCTCAACGCTAACACTGGGCACTGGCAGGCTGAGGAGATGAAGCGCTGCATGAGCCAAAATCGGCCAATACACCAACTCTAATCGTCGAAAGAGACACGGTGCGACGTTTTGAAGCACAACACAAGATGCAGAGCTTGCACCAAGTCAGTCTTTCTTACAACGAGTTTGAAAACAGGCTCGTACATGGCGAAGTCATGGGGCAATTCGGACTTCACGTTCCGATCGATGATGCGCACATTAAACCAGAACGTCGTGGTGGCACCCGTGTATCGCATACATTCGGACACGTCTCGATAGACACTGTCGTTCCACTTTATCACCACGGCTCTGCGGTACGACTGGAAGGTCAAAGTGACCTTTTCCGGTTAAAACTGAGTTTTGGAAAATTGATTCGACGAACTTTTATTGGTTTTTTGGTTTAAATTGAAACTGCCGAACCTAAAAACTGGCCTTTTTCAGTTAAAACCAAATTTCCGAAAATGAATTCGGCGTACTTGTATCGGTTTTTATCGGTTTAAACCGAAAACTCTGAACCCTAGTTATAAATTATATCGAGGTCCTACAGCGGAATGTCTATTTTAGGACTCCCATTGGCCCTGCGTAAGGCTGAAGGTCTGTATGTAGGTTGTAGAAAACAAAATACATAGTTTTGCCTTATCTCATTTAAATTGACGTGAATAGGACGTAGCACGTTGAGCGCTGAAAGCTAACCTGCGAAAAGGGGGCTTTTTTGCGTTCCTTTTTATGTGCTCAAGCTGTTCAAGAAATATTTGTCCGAGGATTCAGGAGGGTGTGGACCACCTTTTTGAGTACAATAGGCAGCACATTTGCAGGAGTATGAAATTGGTCTTTGTTTCCCCCGAATTGCATGTTGCTGTATCCATGACAAAGTAAATTAACTATCTTTGCAATTGCTGAACGACTCAATGTGTCTGTCGGTTTAACATATCACTTAAATGTACACGCGTTTCTCGACAGATTAGTTGTACACGTTAAATGTTCATGGATAAAACGAAGTAATACAATGCAATTGAAATAAACGAAGCTATTCATTATGCACATTATATTCACGCTAATGAGTCAATTATTCTGTTTCAGAAACATTGCCGTACAACTGAATACTCGGCAAGAACGTTTCAAAGTACCGGTAGTTAACAATCTTTTCCAGACAGACTTGAACTTCACACCGTGTGTATCTGTACCCCTGTAACGAGTGGTCTGGTTCCAAGAGCAAGATTACGGCAAGTTCGTCCGACGAAACCTTGTCCTTGCTGCTTCCGAGGCTTATCGAATTTCGGAGACTGCTGCCTCACTCAGGACGTGTCACGGTTGTTTGTTCTAGATACCCACTTGAAGGTCGGTTAAAATTCTGAGTGTGTTCGTTTTGTTCGAGGTTTTGTAACAGAAGAGCAACTAGAAACCATCGATGTTACATTTAAAATTTTCTATTACCGCTGACATCTTTAAGAACTTGGAACGTAGCTTTTTATGTTATCGCTTCTTGCTTCGTGATTGGTCTTCCGCCGTTGTTAGTGGCTCATGTCGCAATTTCATTGGCTGCGGAGGCATTATAAGGTGCTCGTGACTTGGTACGCCCTCAGCTTTTTAAACTGTCGGTGACCATAAGCCGAACAGCGGCTCGAACTACCCTCGTCAATTCAAAGTTAAACTCCCCAATTTGTGGGCTGAAAGTCTAGCCTAATATTTCCTCTTGAATTGCGCTCACGCTTGGTGTATTACTCTTTAAAGTTCCTGCGTGTAAACTTCTCTACTCAGTGTACTTTCGACAGGAAAAAAACGAATGTTTGTTCAACCGATTTAGCCAATGATAAGGGCGAGTTGTCTCGAATCATAATGATGATGAATAGCCAGTGACAAGCGCCCACAAGTTTGGCCACTGAAACCGCACGTCCATTTAACCATTATGCCAATTTATCTTCTCATTGGTTCCACCGAAATAACATCGAAAATCATTGATTGGTGTTCCGAGCTAATCATAGTGCAGTTTTAATTCAAAGATATTTGATAGTGTGGGCGAAAAAGCCATTCCCCGACAGCGAAACTTTAATAGAGAGGTGTTTATACTTTCATCGTCTCCTTCAACCGCGACCACAATTATCACGAATTATTTATTAAGTTTATAAGAAGTTGGACATGGACTGACACCGGCATCTTTTTGTGGAAATATTTGGAGCATTAACAAAAAAAATCCATAGCAAAACAAAACTAAAATGGATTCTCCTGAGAGCGCCAAGCTGGCGAGGAGGAGAAACTCTGTCAAACGACAACGGTCTGCTTTTTTTCTCACTTCCTTTCTTCCCTGAAGAGAAACATTAAAGTTGAAGTTGAAATTGAACATAAGAGCGACATGAAGATTTAGTCAAATTTACATATTAGCATGTGCGGTTGGAGTCAAAACGAATTACATTCCGATAAAAATGAAGTTTAAATAATTTTTACATGGTCCTCCTATGATGCACATTGCAGTAGACGTTCCACGTGTGTGAATTCCCTGAGACCTTTGATTTGATGCATTTAGAACATTGCGCACAACTCACGCATCTTATGAATATATCTTCATTATTATTGCAGTGTACCTTAAACCCTTCGCACTAAGGTTAACGCATCAAATCTTAATCTTGTTTGTTACAGGCTCATGAGCTCTTAATTTGTTTTGTACATGCTGGGAATGCATACGATGCCATCCTTTTGAGAGCCATGGCGTTTTTTGATAATGGCACTCATTTTTTACTGTAAGAAATGCATACGATGCCATCCTTTTGAGAGCCATGGCGTTTTTTGATAATGACACTCATTTTTTACTGTAAGTCATTTTACAGATGACTTACTTAAGTCATTTGAAAGTTTACTGTACCTCCGTACTCATGCAGACAACTTACAAATGAGCTAGAAATTAATATTTTGTCAATGGATACGTTTCTGTGAATTCAGGCATTTGCTTTCAAGCAAACAAACAATAAAAAACCTTCACAAGCCCGCTGTTGGTGGAGGCTTATGTAGGCTACAGAAATATTGTAGACCAAGAAGTGATTTTGACAAGTCAAGCTCTTGAGTATTTTATTTGTTTTTTTTCTCTCCGGGAATATGAAGTTTAAATGGCAGTGGCACATTCGCAGTCGGAAGAGAAACAATACATTGCTAAAAAAAAAGAGACGACACGACGTGGAGAACACGCATAAAGTGGTTAGACCGACACAAAAAAGAGGCAGACATATTGCCATGCCGTTAGTTTTTGAACCCCGACGCTCTTTGTTCTTGAACACTGCTACGATTATGTAGTCTATTTTGGCATCTTGCGATGAATCGTTCTTCTACTCTGGTCTCCTACTGGACTGGTAAATAAGTCGGGGGCAATTCACTGGAAGCCTCTCGCTCATGGCCTGTAGCAGCTCTCCGGGTGCTGAATGGTCATTTCCCGGTCCTGCCTCTTTCGGCGGAACATCGTGAGGGGTCTGATAGCGGCCTGCCCCAGGAGATCCTTGGTGGTGCTGTCCTTGGCCGGCAGGCAATGGAAGCCCATGTCAGTGGTCATCATGCGCGTCTCGATGCAAGATTCGGCGCACTTAGGGAGCGGTCTGATGGAGAAGCAGATTTGCCTGTTCCTGCCCTCGCCGACCTCCATGGTCTTGGTACGCATCAACGTGCAAGTGTCGCCAACTGCAAGTGACAAAATTATTCAGTAACGGCTTTGTAGATTTTGCAAGACAACACACGAACCGAAGCATTCATGTTTCGATAAATATTCATTCTCGTTAATAAGAAAACACCGTTACCACCAAGGTGTTTATATCAAGTTATCCCTCTCATTGATTGGAACTTTCTGAATTAGCAGATCACGTGGCTACATCAGCAATAAAGTTTAGTTGCGCCAGGTGCCATTTGCACCGAAGGGGCTGTGATTGGGCGTAATTAACCCTGCTCAGCCAAAAACAAACAGCTTGTTCCGATGATGGAGTCGAAACCATTGACGAAGACCTAAACTCCCTCATAGGTAGCCGTGAAAAGATGTCTTATGCGACTAGGGTTTCCTCCAGCATAAGAGCTGCCACAAATGCCATCCCTCCGCATTCCAAGACCGAAATGGCATCATTACCCCATTTCTGTACGAACAAGGGCCCATTGGATTGCCCTTTCTGAAATAAAAAACATATCATCGCTTGCCTTTTTTTTGTCTTTGTATTGACGTTCAAGAAAACAAGGTTCCACCTAATGCTTACTGCAACTCGACAGGTTGAGCAAGAAGCGGAACGTTAATTTTGTGGGCTTAGCCTATCTTGTAGTTTTATATTGCAACAAGCTATACAAGGAGTTGGGAACGAACGCGCTGACATGTATTTAAACGTAAAGTCGATCCAGGCTATACAGCCTACACTTTAACACAATATTTTCTATGTAACGTTCTTCAGTTACCGAAAAAGGCCAATATTAGTGCTTTACTTAAAAGTGAGGCGATACCGTTGAGTATTATCTTGAAAGATAAATCGCGGGTTCACAATGAGAGCCAGCCAAGCCACGCCACGTGCTGAGTAATTCCGGCACCTGAGAATCTTGGTTAAACAAGATTCTCAGGTTGATCTCGACTGACTGTCCCAGTTTGTTAGGAAGCAGCACATACTGAAACATTTCGAAAGTATATTCTTCCATTAAAAGAGAACTTGATGGCGCATCGGTATTTTTTTTTTTTTTTATTTAGTGGAAATAAATCGAGCGCTGGCTGTCCGGTTAGTACTTCTATGGCCATCGACAGCGTAAGGACTATCTAAGAAATAGGAAGCGTCTGCTCATGGCTTAAAGTCGCAGCGCCGACAATATTTCTTTAAAGTTTATGCAAAATATTTGCCCCGTCTTTGACCGAGGTCCCACTGTCGCAGCAATTGGCTCTCCAGAGTGCTTTGCGGGAAAGCCAACGCCCCAGATTTTCAGAGTGTATTAACAGGAAAAGAGAAAATGTAACAGCTCGGATTAACTTACTGGGGTATGTGCAGGGACTCCTGTTCTCGGGGGCGGTGCACTCTCCGGACGGTACGACGTAACTGTTTCCGAAGGACGTAGAGTTGTAGTGGAGGCACATGTCGGGGCCCATGAACTCGCGGAACTTGTTGAGGTTGTAGTCACCGCAAAGACCGCACACCTTGCCACGGTACATCGGGGCCACCTGGTTTCCGAAAAAAACAAAAAAAAAAATGCCACATTGAATACTTTGAAGAAAAAATAAAAATAAACTTGCCAGAGAATAGTAAGCATTCCGACCTTCGAGAATTGCAACAGGGTTATGGTGGATTGAAAAAGGAGTGCATGAGTGTTGTCGGGCTGTACGTAAACTTCAACGTTGACATGCGCGTTAGTGAAAGAAACTTAAAAACCAAACTGGACATCGAATGACACGTATTTCTTATTTTTAGATTTAAATTAAGTTGGCCTCAGGACTTCAATTGATTGATGCGAAGGGGCGTGTTTAAGAACAACACTCTGATTGGACCGTTAATCAACGACTCTTTGACAATACGAATTGGAAGAGGGACATTAAAAAAATGACGAAATGGCTGAATGCCACAAAGGAGATGGGGCTTGGGCACCCAAGCTTTTACTGTTTTTTTTTTCTTCCCGTTTTCTTTGCCAGCAGTTGCAACAAAGTACTATCATGACCATTAGACGCTGTTTATTTAAATGTGATGATTGCTATAATCTCAAATAAATCACATCATTTTTTTGTATGTTCTAGTTACCCCTAAATAAGATTCATAACGTAGATAAATTCATTAAAAGAGGGCTTTGCAATTGCAGGGTTTCTCCTTTTTTTTTCTTTATTTCATGTTTAGCAAACTGTTCAGAGTATATCATCTACGACCGGGTAATTTTGGTTACTCATCAATGTGGATATCAAGCTACGAGGCGCACGCTCCCTTACCTGAATGTAGATGCCCTTGCCGTCGTATGCGATGCGTATGCCAAAGACATCGGAGATTATTTTGTAGATGGGCTTCGAGCCGTACATCATGATGTTGAAGACCTCAATGTCACGCACGCCAGTGTTGACGAACTGGCGGAAGGGCTCTTCGGGAGTCACCGGAACCTTCTTTCCGTTGACGCGAACGATTGGGGTACCGTCGTCCGTGATTGGCATCATCTCGATCTTGAATGTGTCCATGAACATCCGCAGGGCCTAGACAAAACATGGCACACAACTGGTGTTCGATATCGTCGTGCATTTAATGGGTGAAGTCAGAATAGTAAGTAAGAAGACGAATGCCACTTCGCTTCTCAATGTAATTGTAAGTAATGTTTGGCGTCACTAACTCGCGCTTCTGCAGGTATTCTCCCCTCAATGCTCTGCACGTTATGTTTCTCTACTCATAATAGTACTTTTGAAAGGCCATGGTGTAAGTCTTATGCAAGCATGTTACGTTGTTTAGGTTTAATTTTATTCTTGCTGTCAGATAATAATGCGAATTTAATACCTTCAGTTTAAAAAGTAAATTTTCCAATTGAGTTTATCAATCTGCCTGGTTACAAGAACAAATCAAAGGTGTCATAGAACAGGTGCTGAGCACAAATGAGATTTTAGCCTAACCTTCTATAGGAACTGACAGCTTAGGAAACAAAGGACGCGGATTTTTTTATGATTTATGCTCACGCTCGCTGTTTCGTGATGCATTTTTTTGCGATCATATTGGCTAGTGCTCCAATTTTATTGGTTTCGAAGTGATAATGAAATGTTCAGGAATCGCCACGGCCAGTGTTTTTTAACCAATCAGTTACTAAACAATCTACGAGTGCTCGCAAGTTACAGGTACAAGTTACTCGCGACTAGTTTGATGTATGTCGTACCTTTGAGTACATGGGATTCCTTGTCGTTGCTCCCATAATCATGAAGTGCTCGTTAGGCGAGCAGTCCTTAGCGAGAACCTTGAAGCAGTTGGTGTCGGGAAGCATGAAGAAGACATCGTCGAAAGTCCTGATGGACGGACCTTGGACGTCGCAAACACCTGCCAAAATCGGTAGCAAGAAAATACAATTGGCAACGAACCAACTTTTGTGGATATTGCTGTCGACATGAGATGACACTATTTAATTCTAATAGCATAACTTTGTGTTGTTGTTTTTTTGTGTTTTTTTGTTACGGTCCTTGGGCATCCTTGGAGATGTAATGGACCAAGGTTTCACCTTCTTGACAAAGAATGAGGGTATAATGCGAAGACACATTGGTCAGTGATATTTTAAACATTATTACCAGGACGTGCACTTACAGATGACTGTTCAGTAAATATTAGATATCTGGTTATTAGCTTAAGACTGACCAAATATAGTTTTCAGATTCACTGCCAAAGTTACGTACTCCTTCCGCAAACCATGGCCAATCGCCGTGTCAGTGGTTCAGAGTGTCACAATGCGACTAACTACAAAATAAACTTCTGAACCTCTCGTGAGCAACTTCTCAGTACCAGCGCCTCCCTGATTCCACCGCCTTTTGTACATATAGTCATAAAATTAATATACAAAATTGGAAGTGAAAGTAGGTATCCAAAGCAGACAGCAAACACTTTAGTGTTTGCCACTTATACGAACATTTGACTATTTCAGCTTAATCAGCGCGTTGTGTATGTTTTATAAATTATTCACCAATTTGCTCACATCGCCACTTTAATTCGTTTTATTGTGGTTTTGCGAATAGTCACCTCCTTCTGAACTCAACCTTCTGTACAATATGCTGGGTAAAATCTGAAGAAGAGAACCGCCGCTTAAATTTTAGGGGGCCTCATTAGGAGCTCTAGAGGATATTATGGTATGCGGTAGATGTTGCATGCTAATGATTGCAAACACAATTTTATATTTCGAAATGAACTGAAAACTTAGGACACGCTCCACTTGTATTTTTCAATCTGGTCTCTATTTTGAGTGGACTTTATCGTTAAAAGCGGAGTATAAAATACGAAGAACTCTTAGTTCCACCGATTAAAAGACGCAAACTCACGGTGCCTGTACATTGAAGAGATCTCTTCGAGGTTGGTGTACTCGAAGAACGCGTACGTCCTCGGAGGGATGAACCACATGGGCACCGGCGCCTGCTTGTAGTGAATGTTCTCCTTGGTCAACATGAGGCGAACATCCATCACAGGCTCCCAGGTGCTCACATTCGCAATTATGTGCATCTTTCCTTCTGGGTTCATAATATTCATGTCTTCGATGTCGGCCAACCAGGGGAAGTACATGTGACGCATGTATCGGCGCATGTTCATCATGTACCACATGAATTCCTTTGACAGCTGCAAGCAACAAATATATATTTTAGAAACAACATTTTATACGTGCACCATAATTTTTTTTAAATATAATCTACTTACGTTTTCGTACTCGATGTCGGCGATGAATCGGTTCAGCTGACTGGCCATGAAGTAGTATTCGTCACAGTGGATGTTCCAGCCGATTCCGTTCCGCCTGTGCCTCATGCACTCCCTCCACAGAGGTCTGAGTGGGTTCTTCATGAACCTTCCAATGGGTTCTTCCATTTCGCGAGTTTCGATCATGTGCTTTTGCTCCTCGGTGTGCTCAAAGACTCCCTTCATACTGATCTAAAAGCGCATTGGACAGAATGTTGAATTAGAACCAAGGCGATTAAGAGGTTGTATCTAACGATGTTGTACCTTGTGGTCTGTCTTGCAGTCCTTGCCGAAGTTGAGGAGGAAGTTTGTGCCAACGGTTCCGTCAATCGGGATATCCGTTTCAGTAAATTTGTCGTGTTCGATGGGTGGGAACTTCATGCTGCCGTGGAAACATATCTAGAAATAGCATAGTATAGTTAGCGAGTTGATATATTTCATCTACTGCAGTGCAACTTTGCGAGCGGTCATTGGGTAATAGCTACCTTCATGTTGTCTGTCTCCCCCATCGTGAACGGCGTTCTATCGTAGAAGAAGTTGAGATGATGAGTCATCAGGTCCCTCGTTCTCGTGTACGCCATTTCTGAAACAATTTTTCTTTCCCTCTGCCCACGAAGGATCATTTCGAGGTCGATGACGCTTGTGTAGGATCTGGCTTCGTCGCGGATCGAGAATGACTCGTCTCCAATTTGGGCCGAGTGCTTCGAAGTGTATATCTTGTTGCCTCTTGTTTCCGGCATGAGCCACGACCATCCCATGTTGAACTCGATCTAAAAATATAAAGGTACGGAAAGAGCTCTTCAGTCTCTTAGGGCTCAGGGAACGGACCAGATAATGACAAAGAAGGCGGACACAGCTGGAAGTAACAGCTCAAAGGCATGTCTCCAACTAGCCCAAGCCTTCAGCTTCACAAGGTTCATAGCTAACCTCGTTGGTGATGTCTCGATTGGCCGGACTCATCATCATGGATATCTTTCTCGGGTGCCACATAGGGTTTTCGGTGACGTAGTAGAGCTTCTGACGGAAGTCATTGCTGTACCAGAACTTCTTCCAGGTCCCCCAGAAGTCCGGAGTTTCAAGGAAGTGGCCCGACATTTTGATGCCCATGCCGAACATGTCGTGGAAGTACTCCCTCTCGAACTGCAGAGAAACACAAATCCAGGTGTGTTCTTAAGATTAGTGAAGACACATACAACAAGCACGTCCCCTCCTTCCCGTAAACTCGCGAACGCTCACTACTGCGTAGGCATGGACTAATACAATATATCGACACAAAAACAAAAGAGTCAGTTCCTTGTGCATTTCTTTTACAAACTTCATCAAACACCTTTAAAGGGGCGTATATGTATCCAGTAAAAAATACTCAAACAAACACATGTATTAGAAGCTTAGATTAGTTTGAGCAGTTATAAATTGAAAACGGAAATGTTTTTTTTTTAATAACCACAGTTCAAAATACATTCTAGCAAGATTGATGACACTAACACGAAGGCTATTTTAAACCTCCAAAAAGCTGCGGAAAAAACGAGTGATGTGCATTTTTTTTATATTCACCATATTTAAATACATACTGTAGCCCTTCCTCCACATTACCACAGGGCAAATCTCGCCACTTATCGTGACGTGACGCAAGCTTTTGAATGTCCTTATTAAAGAAGGTTGCCGCCTCGGTTCCTAGTCATTCTATAACGCGTCAGCAAGATCGCCAGTCATCACAGACGTATGTATATATGCATGGATAAAACGTCATGAAGTTAGTGGGAGGGCAACCATTCATCCATCCTGATCGGTTAACAAGAACGCCTGCGGCGACAAATGGTCTTGTTACCACGAAATGCCGGAAATTAGACTGAAACGCTGACTTGACACAAGGTGTTGATAGAATCTATTTTTATCCGCGATTACCTTAATGCTTGCTAACCTACCATGTGAAGGTCCTCCTCCATGAAGATGTCAACCTTGGTTTCCTCGTGAATAACTGGAAGGGCATTCTCGAAGCTTTCGATGAAGCTAAAGGGCTTGAAGTCGTAATGGAAAATCTCGTGGGGCGACTGCGGGTGGGTCTTCATCCTGAATTTCCGGTCCACCATGTTCATGCCGGCATCGATATCGACAGGAATAGACATGGCTATGCGACTGTCGTATCCAACGCCGACGCTGATCTTCTCGAAGGGAACGAGGATGCTTGCTGTTTCGATTGTGTGGTGGTCGTACCTTTAATGGAGTAGGAACATAAAACAGGTTAAGGGGGGGGGGGGGGGGGCGCTTCGGATTAAACATCTCAATAACTGTAGATGCAGAAACAATTTATTTCAATTGTGTTGCTATTCATTATGAAACATGTTGAATATGTCACTGTTATCCTGATTAAAAAAGTAACAATCTGAAAAAAACGAGGGATTCCTCCATTTTGCATGATCTCCATGTGCTTATGAAATATAAAGTTCCGTTTTATTAAAGATGCTCCTCCTTTTCTAGGATCTAGTAAGATCACTGAGCATTAAACTGCATGATGTGTATTTGTATGCACCATGTGGTTGAATAATGTATATAGGTGATATTCTGTCAATACGCTTACTCTTGTACGTTTCGGTTTGTCATTTTATATTGGCTCAAAAGTATCCGTCACCAGCCGTTGGCTATGGATTCTGTTCGGCGTATGCCTTTTTATTTGTTTTTTTTTTGTTGAAAAATTTAAAAGAAAAATAAAGTTGTATTTTAGAGCTGCTTAACAACCTTTTCATGGTACAGAGGGGAAACGATTGAACCCGAACGCACGATTATCAATTCTCTACATTTTCGGCAGCTTTGTTCAACAAATGAAGGACTCTCATAAAACAGTGCTTGTGTTTCTGAATGTCTTCATTTAGAGACGGAATGACCCAGTGATACCCGTTTGCTTCTGACATTCAACAATGTGAAGAAACGTTAAAAAAAAAACAGTATGTCCTTTGCGAACTATAATCAACAATACGATTTTAGTCGTCCGCTACGCTAAATAAAAATCATGCATGAAGGATTTTATCCGTTAAATATTTTATCTATGCAATCTAGTCGACCTGGAGGCCTCAGCACAACACAAACAAGCAAGCGGCAATACATTTTCATTAAAAATAGTAAAATATTCCTTGTCACTACAAGGTGTTGTTAAACCCACATATGTTTATGCTGCTTTGAAACAAAAATAAAACAAAACTTTGATGACTCGTTAGAAGAGGCAGAAAATAAAATCATTTATGAAGTGATTGTACATCCAAAAAAGAGTCTTACATGAAGTGTCCGTTGATTTTAGTGGTAAACTCATCGATGGTACCGTCAGCTTCGTTTCCCTTCACATCAAACTTCATCTCCTTGTTTTTGTAGTACATGAACATTGGTTGCTTTCGTTCCAGGTAGAAAGGCAGACCGATCTCGGTGGGCAAGAACATCGACATGTCTCCGTCCATCATAAAGCTTCGGACCTGGAAGTCCTTAATATCTCCAACTATCTTCCTCAGAATTGACATTGGCCCTTTGTCTGCGAACAGAAAACAACAAACGCTCGTTTCCGTTACAAAGCCGAACATTTATCCGCTGTAAAATGGGTTATCTTAATCTGTCACTGTTCTCACCGCTAGTCATGATGGTATCAAACATCTCCTCGTCAAAGTTCAAGTTAATAAGTTCGTTGTTAAATGCCGTGACCCTGAGGGCTGCATATGGCTTGGGGTGGTTTCTTGTTTCAATGTGGAGCTGAAACAGACATGGGAATGCTCGCAACTTGTTCAACTTTAAATGACTACACATGAGAACTATTCAGCAACTGTAAATGCAGTATATTTACGTTAATATATTGAATTGCCTTAGAATACTTGAAGCACTAAAAAAATGTTATTTGATAACCTGTTCTGTATTTTGCAGTGTTTTCAATTCATTTATATGCTTGTCTTTAACTTTATTTATTGCGAGGACATTAGACAAGGGGACGACAAAGCAAAGAATTCGAATCACAAAACATCAGGCAGAGAACGGGTTGTCTGGAGAAAACACAATGTAAACAAAACTAGCGTAGAAACCTATTCATACACAAGCTATAAATAAAAAGAAGAAACACCTAAAAATGAAATATATCCCGAGTGTTAAGAGTTATTATTCAAAGTAAAACAAATACAGTCAGTTCATCTTCTTTTGCGATTATGATCACAGTCAATGTTGATATTTTTGTGGACTGCATTACTTACGTTCTGATCAATCTCCTTGACTTCCTTGTGGACGGCAATATCTCTGGTGGACCTACGACGGCCGAAGAAGTTCCAAAGGCTGCGACCTGGGCTGATGTCGCCTTTGACCTTAGGTCCAAACATCTTGTCAAGGATGGGCTCAAGGCCCCAGCTGTCAAACGACGCAGAGAACGTATCGTAGTTGAAGTTGTTCATGTAATCGTTCATCCTGATGTACATGCTGCGTGGCATGTAGCTGTCGTTGGCCATGATGTAAGAAAATACTGAGTAGCCTCCGTAGTCGAATTCGGCTGGAATAACCAAAGCTCACAGTTTGAGTCGACAGTCGAACACAGTTACTAATCATTATACGAGTATATAAGTCAATATTCTTACGTTCGTATCCGCCGTTGATAATCTTCTTGGAGTACGGCCATTCCTCCAGGTCCTTCAGTCTCTCGTGACCCTCGATGATAGGCATAACGTATTCAAGGTGCCGAGCACTGTGAAATCATTGCATAGTTAACATAGCACATGGCTGTAATCAATCCATGTCGTTTCGCTTATTTGGGAAGTTCTGAATTGCAACAAAGTAGAAAATACGTCGTACATTTCGAAGTAGCAGGGATAGTCCAGTTCAGCCATGTGCTTGAACGTCGACCAGACGTAGCTGATGACCTGCGTGTTAGGCTCAGTAGTTACGAGCTCGGCGGCGATGGACTTCAGCAGGGCCATGTCTGGGAAGGTTCTCATGAGGATTGTGAATGCGGCCAACCGAATCTCATGAGACTCGGTCCAGTTCCTGTAGATGGGCAGCACGATGTCTCGGACCTGGTAGACGCCAAGGTTGAAGCGAAATATATCATGAGCGTGGCTGGTTTGGATCGCATATTTTTCAGTTGTCTCACCTTCTCTGGATTATAAAAAGCCGCTTTTTCGAGCACCCAGATAGAGATCATCCGGATGTGAACTGGAAATTGGTCCATTTTGTCTTCCGCATATTTCTCCAGGAAAGGAAGTGCTTCCTTGAGACCGAAGTTGCCTGCGACTTTGATGTACATGATCCTCTCCTTTTCTTCCAGATTGCGCTCGTACTGGGGCACCAAGTACTGTAGCACGAGAAAGTGAAATGACAACAAATGCATCGCGTTAGGGTACATCGCGTCAAACAGTTCGAGTATGATTGATCGCAGATATTTGAAAACCTTGGGCGAAGGACACGATAATTTGCAAAAACATAGACCTGAACAAAGAAGTCTGCTTATCTGCTCACCACGCATTCTTTTCGTTAAAAATGTAGCAAGATTTCTTTAACCATTGTTTTTGTATAGTAGTAACCTTAAAGGGGCGAGCTTTCTGATAATTTTTTTATAAGCATAAAAGTTTATATTGTACGTCGAATCGTTTAAAATTAAAACACTTGTAAGTTCCTTCGTACAATTACTAGTCCTGTACTCTTATTGAAAAACGCGATATACGTAGGTTGTACTTAGACGTTTGTTTTTACGCTGTACAGTGGCCGCAAGTCTTCAGTAAAGGTACCGCAAGTCATTGCATTTAAACTCACGTTGAAGTACTTCGCAGCCATGGTGGGAGTGCAGATGGCATTCTCCTTTGCGTCGTTCCAGGTGTTGTGGTACTTGACAACGCAGGTTTGGTATATCATTGAGCTGAATGCCATAAGACATGCCGAGTGAATTTCGTGGTTGTCCCTAACGTGACTTCCTTCACAGAGGCGCTGCAAAATAGGGTAAACAATAAAAGTAAGAACATTAATGTTGTTCCTCTAAGCTGAAGCGTATGATGCAGGTAAACGTTACTACAAAACGCAAGTTTAAACGAGGCACAATGTGATGTAAGAAGGCAAGAATGACTAACGTAAAACTCGTCGAAGAGGATCTCGGAGGGTTCCCGAATGTGGAATGGCATGTTTCGGAGAATCTCAATCGACTCATCTTCGCTGATCTTTTTGCTTTGAATAAGGTACTTGGAGTACATGAAGGCTGGGTTTGTACCCGCGACGCTAAGCAGGTCCGCGAAGACTTCTCTGTATGAATAAAAAACAAACAAAGTCATTAAAGTAACTTCACAAACAAGACTGAAACAGGCAATTTTCTAAACGCACAAACGGTGGTCTGCCTGTCAAGGAAGCTATATAAAAAAAAAGAAACTAAAAAATTTAAAAAGCATCAGCGCCATATATAAAGAAACAATATGTTCTGGCAGAAGCTGAACAGAGTTACGTTATTGCGTTTATGGTTTCAGCTAAAGGCTCACCAGAAAAAAGGAAATAAAAAGGAAAAAAAAATTAAGCATTCAGAAGACCTGGTGACTAAAAGTACAAAAATAAATTGAGGTGCAATTTTTTTAAGTCTTATGAAGAAGTAGCGAGTTACGTTACTACGTTCCCCATTACTGTATTGAAAAATAAACGACTACGTTACTACATTAGCGAAAATGTAAGGGGTTACCGGTAACGCTGTTACTTGTAATGCGTTAGCGCTAACACTGACGAGAACATAGCTAAGAAGCCGCGCTCACAAAAGAACCAAAATTACGATTTAAAAAAAAAAAAAAAAACTCGGCGAACGATGGGGTTTCAACTATGTTTAGACAAAAACAAAGAGAGTTCTCGATGTGACACTGAGCATGATGTGTAATATGCTTACGTCATGACTCTCACATTGCAGTCTTAACTTTCTACGTGAAACTTGTTTTTGATCTCGTCAACTGCCAAGTTCCCTTTACGATCACAGTGGTAGGCTCTCTGAGTGCCTTCCGAGAAAGTAGAGGCACTGGCATGTTTGGGGTTACTAGTAGTGTTACTTGGAACAACGAGCTGCATTCATTATGCACCACATGAAGCATTTTGGTTTCTTGTTTCCCCCGGCCAGAACCCGGCAGCAGTTTCAACTAAAAGATCAGACCGTAAAATGGACCGCAGCGGCACAAACGGACGTGCATCTCTGTAAGGGTAATTTCTTAAAATAATATGGCGTACTTGTATTCTTCTGATCCGGGCTCGACGAAGCGATGGTAGAAGTCATCAATCTGCTGGTAGTCCAGAAGCACGAACGAGTAGATGATCTCCAGAAACTTGAGAGGGAGGCTGTCTTTTTGAATCGCGTGTTTTATCTCGTTGTCCTTGTAGTCGAAGTCCACCATGTTCCTGAAGAGCCTTCCAACCTGCGTGAAGGAAATCAAATTGCGATTTATTCTAAAAAAGTAAAGCTGGCCATCCTGCAGCAGCAGCTGCCCCTCAGCAGTAGTTTTATTTAAACTCTTTCGCAAGTTTTCTCTCTGAGAGCACCTAATCCAGCCAACAAGGCTTCTTCAGATTCGGGAAGGATCAAAACTTCTAATTCTTTCATCTGCCGTGTAAGATAAAGGTATCCTGCTATTACTTTTTTCAGGCCTTCCGAGGGTTGAACCGTTCATTTCTAAACTAATGACATGATTTAATTTTCTAAATAAGTTGTACGACGTCCTCCGACCTTAAAGAAAAATAACATGAATATATGTCTCCCATGAAAAACATCAATTTTGATGCGCGTATCTTTAGTCACTGATAGCTCAAAAAACGCAGGGTTTGACGCAATATGTTCATCCGTCTCGCTTCATGATTGGTTATTTTGGTTTTTTTATTGGCTAATTCAGTAATCTGACTGGCTGCGGAGGGATAATGAGATGATTGGGACTTGCCACGCCATCTGTTTCTTAAATTCTTGGGGCCGGTAGTGAGTGACAATCGATAGGACGACTCACCTCATCAACGTTGCCCCTGAGACCATAGGCGGCCACGAGTTGATGAGCGTGCTTGAGGTCGATCATTCTTCCTCCTTCGTTCATGTCCGTAAACATGTAGGAAAGTTTGTTGTATGTGATAATGTCCCCGGGCATTGTGATGTCGCTCCTGACGTCTCGGATTTCCATCAGGGTCATGGTACGGCTGTGCCGCAAACAGAAACGCGAATTGTTAAGAACAAATGTTCCGAAGCGTTTCCGGCTCCAGGAGGACTCACTTGAGAAGGATCCTGATGATGTTTCCGTTGGGCGTGTACGGCGTAAACATGATTTCTCCGTCGGCCATCATCTTCTCGATGATGAAGTTGTGCCTCGTTCCCTTGATATTGTAGTGGTAGGCCGCGTTGGACGTCACCGGAAACTGTTGGGCGTTGAAGATTGACGACGTTCACATTGGTGTACTCGAATCAAGCTGCTACTTAACTTTAAGAATAGATTCTACGGTAAATCCGCACCGATTTGTCACCCGGACAGTCGTTGCACTGGTAGCCGTGCTTGACTCCGAAGAAAATGTGGGGAGTGTTACGACAATGCTCGTAGTTCTTGACCTTTGTGACGTTGAGGACAGTCATGTATGGCATTTCAGGCCAGACAGTCTTCTGGATGTCGTACATCGTCTCGCACTCTCCATAAATTCCGTCCTGGTGTAAGAGTGCACGAAATCACACGTTAGATATCACACCTTTTGAAACGATTCCTTGATTTTTTTTAGCGGCCCGCACAACCCCGATTAATAAAAAGATGAAGACAAACAGTAAACCCTAAAAAGACGTTGACAGCCTTTTTGTGTTCTTTGTTTCATAGACAGCCACCGTTTATTTTTTCTACTAGCTAACCTTTATTTTAGGTGTGAGCAGACAGCGATTAATATGGTTACTGCAACGAAATTCTAGCGCCTATGATCTTGTCTAGATCTCAACCACGTTCTGGCCCCACCACGGAGACAACAATTTTCTGCTTAAAAGGACGACAAAAGATAATTTAAAACGAATAAACTGAATTTAATTACGTCACACTTCCGAAACAGCGCCTCTCCACTGAAGTACCGCGGCAGCTAAGTTGTGACACAACCTAGCCGTTCAAAATGTAAAAGTACCGCGGCAGCTAGGTTGTGACCTTCGCCACCAAGTGGCGAAGGTCACAACTTAGCCGTTCAAAATGTAATTAATCAAGTAAATTACATGTACACGTAAATATTGAAGTTGCTGGAAGCTTGTCTGCGGTCTAAATTTTTTGCATGTTAAGCAAAAATGAGGCTTACAAAAGTCGATAAATTCTGGGTGGGTTATGGGCACCTCATAAACGCGGTAGTTGGTTGGCAGTTCGTGTCCCATGCCGTATCCACGTTCCATGTCTCCGTAAAACCGTTCTTCCTTGGGCATGATCGGGTTCATGGCTTCAAGGTCCATGTTGAACACGCTGGCGATGGATTTCTTCATGTTAATGGACCACAGAGGCTCACCCCTTGTGATTTGGATGTTGCGGATCTGCAATGCGCATGTCACTTGTGAGTAATGTCCACGAGTATAACAGAGCTTTTTTGTGTGAGCTGTCAAAGAAATTATTACAGCCTGTCAAGAAACATACCTTGCCGTGATCGTAGCGAATCTTGAAGGGCTTGCTCATAAACTCGGTGAGTTCTTGGATGGTACGGTAGTTAAAGACGTGCTCATCGAAGTCCTCGACGTCCTTGTGGACTTTGTCGAACATCATGTCCATTGCCTAGGAATAAAAAAAAAAGGAGAGAAGCCTGTTAATTTGCAAAGTGTTCTACCGAGTTTGTGCATGTAAACATTTTATCTTCTTTTCACATTGAAGCTATGTTGCAGGTAAAAGGTATTAAGGAAAATGCACAAAATATAAAATTTAATTTTGGGGCTATAGCCAGGTATGAGTTTCTTTTAACTGGATAACTCTTCTTGTATTAATACAGACGTATCAACCCTTCGATTTCACGACAATGAGTTTTTATAAGACACCATGCCTAAAACTTGAAGATAAAATGTGGTCGGTACTTTAAATGCAAATCTAGCTTGAGACAAATATCGAATGAGTGGAAGAAAAAAAAAAGATCTTTCATACACTCCTGTTTTAATATCTCAACTACCTAGGCTGAGCATAAAAATTACAACCATTGAACATCTCTTTTTTTTAGAACTGCATTTGAAACTTTACCAGGAGTAAGTGCAGACAAAAACACTGGCAGTTTTTCCTGTGTATGCTGACGAAACTCTTGTACACCCGCTGGAAATGTGAAGGTGAACACCTTACCTGGTTTCTTGCCTGTTTTACGGCTTGTTAAAACTATATTAACTCTCAAAGTCTTAAATGATACGTGGCTTGGGGTCTAAACTTAGCGTTCTAGCCCTCTCCTGGAACAGATCTTGTTCCAAAACTTGCAGGAGCGCCGAAAACAAGAAGAAGGCTGTTCACCTTCATATCGCTCACGGGTATACCTGGAGTTAATTTACAGGAACCATTTTTGTCAATAAGAAAAATCCCTGAAGAGTTTAGGCAAAGTTAGCTGTTATAGTCTAATTTGAGCACGTACCTTGATGATCATGTAGTCTTTCCTGGGCTGGACGAGCAGCTTGCACCTGAAGACGACGCCGGACACCTGCTGCTCCATCTTGGGCATGTGCGTGTGCAGGTGCCCGTAGTACTCGTACATGTACTCCCGACCATTCTCGTATCCTGCTCGTTTAAATGGATGAACAAGGCCGACTTTAATGCCACATCCTTTGAATCTTACTCGTAGACCACGTCAGCTAGATAAAGTTTCGAATTCTTTTTGGCGTCCATTCGCTTGCCATTCTGGATTTAGAGACTGTCTCTTGCATATCAGCGCTACAGTGTGTCGAGAAGATATCTTCAGGATTCTAACGCATGTATTTATATAACTGTACATCAGGTATTAAAGGACACCGAAAGTATGAGACGTCATCAAAAGTGACTATTCTGAGTGGAAACGGCCGCTCATATGTGGCATCAGAAGGTTTTTGGAATCAAATCTCGTCGACTTATATCGTCATGCATCAATATGGGACCATTTAGCACTACCCCATGGGCAAGACAGATGTAATCGCTGACGTGCTTTAAAGATTTTCGTTCTCTTTTAAGTCAGGTTGAACGAATGGAAAATTGTGTCCACTTACCGTTGGCGTACGTGAAGGTCACTGGAAGAAGAAGACATAGGATTCAAATAAAGACGGGCAATTCAATAAGTTGCGTATGTAGACATGTGAGGGAAATATACTTTGAATGACAAGTCATTGTTTCCTCAAGATAATACATATTATCTACCTTTTTTGTAATGTGGCGCATTTGTCTAATGATGTAAAAAGTGCGTCATTTAATTTCTTTTGTTCCTAAGATACAAGACATATATCGCTCGTATGATACTTCTTAATAAACAAAACAGGTGACAGAAGGGCCATCATAAGTTTCTTATACTTAGGGCCGATATCTCGCCATGTAGTTTCCTGGATTCTGAACGAAAATCAAACAGGTCACCCGCTGCCAGGCTATGTCTCTATTTTCCTATCTAACTCATAATAATGTACATCCAAACTATTTGTTTGTTTTACTCACATAACTGGGTGTCTGTGGTAACGCTCGACCACATTTCGCGCCTAGTAAAGGCGCGAAATTAAAAACGCGGATTGAAACTCCAAAGTGCAATTTTTGTTTTGTTTTTATTCTCGCAATGGCTCTTTCTTTTTTTTTTTTAAACAAATAAAAACTTCACAAAAACATAATTACCATTTGGCGAGAAAACGACGTAAAGTTCATTTAAGGTAGCAGAATTCTAAGACATTATCAAATTAAGCGATATTGTACTTTCAATTAATGTATATTTTTACGCTCGATTAAAGTTCGAGCCATCCCGCGATAGAGAAATATTTGTAGCATCTACTAAAATGTTTTAAAAAGTCCAGCGATAATACATATAACGATTGAATTCTCGCATATTTGTTCGCGAACTAAACCAAAGCATTAGGTTAACAAGAGAGGACGAAAAAAAAATGAAGATTGTAAAAGTGAAAGTGTAAACTGCGATTACTCTGGAGGCCCGATAAATTTAATTTAATAAATAATAACCACAATGACTGCCTACTAAAGTCAAAACTCAAAACACAGGGGCTAAAAAGTGGACTTCTAAGCCAGCCGACCGATTCCCCAAGAAGACACTCACCGACTGTGGCCACAAGGGCCGCGAATCCCAAAAGTAGCCTCATCGCTGTGAAGCTCGTGCGGAGCTAAGACTCCGTCTAACCTGACCCGGTCTTCGACAGTCGAATTTATTATGGGCGCCAGAGAGCCCACGTGACCCAACGCCAACCAATCACGAGGCCGGCCATCGGAAGACCGGATAAGATGCCGCCACTCTTTTACGGTAGGTCCTCCTGGGCCGATAACGAAGACGTGGTCTGGACATGGTCGGTACTCCAGCGGGACCGTCGTCCTCCGGATAAGAAACGATTGTGTGCCGTTAGTGTAATGCCAACCGTGAATATGTTTGTCCTGCCTCCATTTGTTATTCAAAAGCTTTCTCTCCGGCGTCCCGTGCAAAAAAGTGCGCACTCGAGGTCGACGAACGAAACCGTGGAAGCGACGATAAGTTCGCGCCACCTTCTTGGAGCCCGAGCGACGGGTGGCCTTTGCTCTACTCTTCTCCGATCGCGGGACTTTTTTTTTTTTTTTCGTGTTTTAATTTTTATGATTTTGAGTTATTCAAGATTTTCGCGAGACCCAGCTTTGCCCTTCTAGGCCTGCTATTTGCTATCGCTAAATTCGAAAGAGCTATAGAGAATACGGCAACTAGAAGTTCTGCCAAAACCAACATTCAAATTTTCCCGCGCTTTGCACTGGGGTCACGTGTATAGCGTGCGTGTGCAGCAGGTTATTTAAAAAAAAAAAATACGCTGCAATTTTTTTTCTTTTTGGCGTTAATTTTTTTAGTGTTTACTTCACACCATCAAACATCTTAAACCAGTCGAGAACGAGCTGTACTGGCCGTTTACTACAACATTTCTCGTGTCTCCTGTAGAACCTCTGGGCCTCAAAGACTAAAAATAAAAATGAATTCACTTTGCGGAAAAGAAAGAAAAAAAGATCGTGACTTGCAATTTTCGTTAATAATTCATGTGTCTGTTCAAGCGTTGAACCAATTATGAGGCAAGTTATTGACTATGGAAATATCGTCGGAGTTCCCCTTTAATTCATTTTGGCTCTGTTTTTTAGAAGTTTTGATGACAATGACTGTGTTTCGTCTGCGTCCGATTAAATCCGCGTAGATGATGGTCTAGCTGTCACTTGTTGGTATTTGTCTGTCTTCGCTAACTGAGCTACGAGGCGTAGAAGGAGAAATATGTTCCAGTCTTCTGTTTACCTTTCTTTTTTAAGGCGAAAGCCTTACTTGTTTCATTACCCGAAAAAACGGTGGCGTTGTCCCCGAAAGATGGTCATAAAACTACGTCCTCAAGCACGCGCCTCAGAAATGAAACACAGAGAAAAGCACGGCAACGCAAAGTGCTTCGTTACGCAAGCCGGCGGGGCGCTCAAAGTCAAAGCGGACGCGGCTCAGAAGTAAAACACCAAGAAAAGCGCAGCGACACAGATGCTTCGCCTGCGCAGTGGTGGAGCGTAGTGTCACCGCCGGAGCGCCGTGTGAAAAAGGACTACGGGGCGCGCTACTTGTAGGAATGCGCTGCTTGTAGGAGTGCCTTTCGCCTTCCTGCACATAAACAGTCTTAAGTGTCTCTCTGTCGATATTTTTTTCTAACATGAGTATCAGAAGTTAGATGTCACCTGTGACACTGTCCTTTTTAAACGACCCTATCAGGCTAGGAAGAGCGCCATGACAGTGCACTTTTGCCACTGGTTTATTGATACCATCCAGGGATGGGCAAAATACGTGCAAATATGTATTGAAATACAAATACAAAATACTTCGTCAAAAATGTATTTAATTACAAATCTAATTCCATTTTCCAAAAAGCATTGAAGTACAAAATACGAATACAACCAAATGTATTTGGACTCCTCTAAATACTTTTTCAAATACATTCCTCAAAATTTGCGTCAGCAACTTCAGAGCACCTGCAACGGGTTTCTGGGTATCTCATTTTAATTTTGCATCGCACACTCGGGAGTTAGTGTGCGAGGCTCTAGTAACGTAATAAAAATATAATCACAAAAAATGTAATCAGCTTGGACGTAATAGGTGAAGAAAGTACAAAGCTTCAAGCAGTTTTTTTTTTTTTTTTTGTCGATTACATTTTGTTATAGACCAACAAAGAACCGAGACGACCAAGACGCGCAGCACTAGCCAGAAAATGTTTTATTGTTGCAATCGCACCAGTTACGAAAATCTGGACGACCCGCGCATTTAGAATGTTCCAGGCAAAAATATGGATGGAAATCAGGCTGGAAAGCATCCCAAGTTGTCACAGGCACTTATTTAGCCAGTCTGCCTGTGAACGTCGATTTCGTCACTATTCTTGCCCTGGACTAGCACCGTAATCACAAAGTCACTAAACGCTTGTGCTTGATTGAAAGACACTGCATTCGGTGCAAAACGTAGTTTTCTTCCTGCTCTGGGCAGTGACAATAAATTTTGAGGGATGTATTTTCACCCAAAAAATTGTATTTAATTACAATTGTAGTTGAAATACCCACGTTTTAGTATTTAAATACGCACGTCAAATACATTACCTAATTTGTAATTAAATACGAAGGCAAAATACACAAAGTATCTGAAATACGTATTTCAAATACTTGTATTTGAAATACTGCCCATCCCTGATCCCATCGAATCGCGGCGTCGACTGCTCTCGGACTTGACTTGAAACGGAGTATACTAATCCAGAGCTAAGACCCAGATAAAAAAGGTTTGCCATATCTTACTTTGCTTTCTGGGAAATAAGACGTTGAACGCTCAATCTGCTCGCATGAGTCGGGGCATATATACATCTCCCGCAAACAAATGTGATGCTCAGATTTGTCGCTTGAGCGCGTCATTACAAATGTGACGAGTTTCGGTGGTCTGACCAAGACTACCAACTCGTGTAGTGCTTCGTTCATAATCATATCGTTGCTTGGTACCCTCAGCTAAAGATCTTGTTTTTTGTCTCGAGTATCACGACAAGCGGTATGCCGTTAGCAACGCATGTAAATGGACTAATGAGATCTGCCAAATTCCAAGTGTGTCGTCCATCGTTTTTGGACAACACAACCTGGAACCTAGAGCCATCGGATATTTTTTTTTCTTTTTTTTTTTCTTGTCATTCTATTTATGTTTACGTGGTCGTTGTGCGAACGTGGACGTGAACAGAAATTAGGACGTGGAGAGCGCCGTGGGTCTGGACGAGAAATAGAGCTAATCGCCATTAAGGGGACCTTGAACGAGGTTTCCGAGCCCTCCGTCCTGTTGAAGAGTATAGAGGTAAAATTGTTGAGACATGAGTTGAGCGGTTTTTTTGTTCCCTCTTTGTTTTTCTTTCCTGAGAATGTTACAATTTGTTGCCATTCACTTGCTTTGTTTTGTTTTGTCGGTTTTTCTTCTTTCGTTATCGTTCTCACTTCTGCGAAGTTAGGTCTCCATTAAATGTTTATTCCGAGTTGAACACGCTTCACCCTTTCTTCCTCCAGCACGCAGACGGTCGTACCTAAAAAAGAATTTCCGAGTTACAATAACCACTCTGAAAAATGCCTGCGCGTCTACTTGCATGCAAGGCACTCGAAAGGCCTATCTCTGCGTTCAACTAAACCAGCTCAGCTAATGAGGAGGCGGAACATCTGTTTAGACCTCAAAATTAAGTCTGCGCTGTGTCATTACGCAAAGCAAGCATGACGCTTTGCATTGCGTAATGCCACAGCGTAGATTTTATTTTGATGTCTAAACAGATGTTTATCCTCATCATTCGCCGAGCTGATTTCGTAGATCACAGAGATTGGCTCTTTGAGTGTTTTGCGGGTAAGTAGACGCGCAGGCAGTTTTTAGAGTGGTACCCAACGAATTGTCTTCTAAGTGACGCGTTAACGTTTATAAATTTTTTTAACATTAGGCGGAGCGCAAGTTCGTCTGCTTGTTTTGCAGGGGTTCTGGTGACGTCAGAATGCCGAGCTCTGATTGGCTCTGATTGGAAGGATAGTGGGTAGACCTCAAAACAGGGTACCTCCAGCTCTACCCACAATCCTACAACCAGAGCCAATAAGAGCTCGGCGTTCTGACGTCACCAGAACCCCTGCAAAACAAGCAGACGAACTTGCGCTCTTGAAAAATGTCTGGCTGAAACTGCTAAGGCGCTGGATGTCATTTTCGTGCCAAAAATGGCAAATTCTAAGAAAGCATTAGGTTGGGAAGGTTGGGAAATGTGTCACTGCTCCCAGCCCATATCTCTTGCAGAGTAACAATGACTTGCTCCAACATTATTGTTGGGGCACATTATTGTTACTTATAAGTCGGGCTCGGAAACCCCAACGTACTTTAAGGAATTTTCCAGGTGTTTCTTCTTGAATTATTTAAATCAAAGGCTCACTCACGGTGGGATGGCTTTGTATTAGATCGTGGCTTAAAAAGAAAAGTTTTGGGGAGTATTTTATCAGGGACTAAATAATTGTGTTAATGCTTTTTGGGCTAATCGCAGCTTGATAGAAATCGAACACATATATTGCATTCCAAAGTAAGGCAAAATTGCAATTAACACGAACACTCAGCGAAATTAAATACAACATGCGTTTCCTTTATCTGTTGTCCTTTGAAATATTGATACCTTCATACAGGTGAAAGTGGGAGACATTTGAACTGTTCACATTTTGTTATTTAAATTTATTTTTAAGTTTTACATTTTTAATTCAATTTTATTGATTTCTCAAACGCTAATTGCTGGACCTGACTGCCATTAATTTATTCATTGACTCCTAATATAAGGATGCGATAGCAGAGCATCATATTTAGAGGGCACCGATCACAGACGCCCAGTCCCTCTGTACCCCCTTCTAGCAAATCGCAGCTGTCATACCTTAATTAGATAAGATAAACGTCCATGTATCTGCGACGTATAGTATCACTTAAAGCAAATAATGTCTATAGTAAACACTACTTATTTTACAGTCAAACGTAGATTGTGTTTGACAAAAAAAAACACTCAAACAAAGTTACGTTATTTGGCTTAACGGAAGCTGAAGACCTAGAAAGAAAACGTTCCGACACTTCTTATTTTATTTTTTTTTTAATCAAATTTGAGAAAAGCAAAATTTTTAATATTTCCAGGACGAAAACTATATAGTAATTTTTATCCAAGTTGCTGATGCGCTGGCGCTTTTTCCACTTAAGCAGGATCTTGTACCAAAATTCAAAGCGCGCCGATACTTAGTTTACATTGTATTTGTTCAATTTTGAAGCCGTCCGAGCTTCTAAACC